GTACATTAGCAACTATAACATTTTAACTGCAAAATGGACATTCAAATTTCAAGTGTAACTAATATTTTAATGTAATTAAGCGAACAATTTTCCAATAAATTAATGTATGTAATGAAATGCAGTAACAACCATGACAATTTTCCGGCAAGAAGCTCATTCGAATTTCAGTGTTACAGTGTTAAATACTGTATTACAGTAGAAATATCTATGTTAGGATAATTCTATTAGACTATCCTTATTTAGTTAACGTCTAATTTGGATATACTGTGTTTTAATATAGCACTAACTTTTTATGACAGTGACACTTATACACATACTGAAATTAATAGTTATAATAGGGAATGCAAATCATCTGCTTACAGTTCGAATCATTGTGATTGTAATTTACTTATGGTAGACTACAAATTATCATGGAAATGTTCCGTGATAGGACATATCGTAATCTGACTATTCTGTATTAGTCATCACATGTCTATGATCTTAAATACTGTTGTCAGCATTAAGGGAGCAGTAGCTAAAATTAATATCTAATTCAGTAAATGATTCCAATGTTAATTGTATTAACTATGACTCGTGAACTATTGAGGAGTAGTATATAAATGCAGTATATCGTGAAATAAAGTGGAATTCTCCAACTTAGTGTTTAACGTAAAATACGAGGCGTTTAAGTCTTTGTGTAGTCTGCTAGTAGAGCAAAAGTGTTCGTGATAGTGCAGATATCGTTCCTTGATACGTGGTTCAAGGAATTGACTTATTGATCGTATATTGCGTTATCTTGTTGCAAAGCTGTTTTGTGACATTCAGGTATTATTGATATTGTAATTTAACGTATAAGCTCATTTGTTAGCCTATACTTCAAATTTTGATAGATTACATGTAGTTAAGAGTTTGATGCCTTAATTCTACCTTAGCTTGTCTCATTCCGACTAATACGGTAAAGCTTGATAGATGTTCAGTTTCACAGTAAACCGATGATGTATTGCTGACTTTCGTTTTAACACCTTGAGTCGACCAGTGGCCGGTATTATTGCTACTATAGATATGAAATTGGCATGGATATGAGAACCACGAAATCGATAAAGAAAGAAATATATTATTTGGCTTTACCTTGCTTTCCAATATACGCATTGGATGTTACTGTTTTTCTATCGGGTAGAATAAGTAAGCCATATTAGATATTATTTAATTAAAATCTTGCTGTTGATAATTTCAATCCAACTATCAGCTGGACTTATATCCACCTGATAACTCTGCCAAGCTAAATGTAGTTGATTTTAAATGCACTCATCAACTGTAGCGATATCAATCTAATGTATTAGCCGTAATTGTTTCAGGTAGTTATAAAATATGCTTGTACTTATTGCCTATAACATTATATTGATATACTAGCTATAGTTATCAACTATTCTAATAATTAGTTCAGTTTATAATATACCTCATCCTCTGTAATATCGAAAACAAGGTGAACAGGTTTAGGAAATTGTTCCGTAATGGTTGGGTAGACATTTAAAGAAACGATTGAATGGTTTAATGCGGTGCCATTAGCACTATGTAAGAGCAAAATGTAACTTAATATTAGCTTGGTTTAAATAACTGCCTTAAGTAATAAGACTTATGATATAGGAAAGCTTTTAAAGCATCCACTATAGCAGTTAGGAGTCTTATTTTGTCATATAGAGTATGATAGCTAAAGGAAGTTGCTGTTCTTACGTAAAATTTCTTTCAGTAGGCTGAAAGGCAATGGAAACAATTCCAACATAACCTACAGTAAAAGTAAAGCATAAATACTGAAATTCATGGAAGGTATAATCAACAAAGACGTCATCAGCGCTATGTATTAACTACAGATCGACAAACTACACCATATTTCACCTTTATATTCTTTAGGAACAATAGCTTTGGGGATTTCTATATGTCGGATCGTGCTTCGAGATAGGTAATTATTTGCGGAAGTCATATTAATCTTAATTGAGCCAGATTTATCCTCTACAACTTCGGATTTGGATACAATATAAAGTTCTATGAGACAGAAAAATAATGATGTTTTATTGCATCCCAAATATTAGAATTCTAGTATAGCATATATATACAATAACAAATAATTTGCTGTCAAAATCAGCAAATGATCTTACTAGCAGTTTGACTAAAAGCAGATGAAGAAATTGGAGATTGAATGGATGCTAAATTCTGCGCCAAAGCAGAGCCAATAGTCTCGCTAGCATTTAATGCTGCACTGGTGCTCTTATTTAAATGTTGGAAAAAAAGTTTTAAATTTACTTAATTTATAAGCAGTATATGACATGCCAAAGAAATCTATCAAATTGAATAATTTAAGGTAATACTTACCACGTTATAGATATTAGTTTTAGTCAAATTTTGAGTTAAATCCTTATAATTATCTGATGGATAGGAATCATTTAGATCTAAAAAAAGTAATAATCGGACCATAGATCAGCTAACATTAGCTTATCTACATACGTTGAACTTAAGTAGATCGATTAAAACTCAAAATGAGGGCAAACTGTTTACTTTTCATGCATAAAAATGATGAAAATTTGCCAAGGCAATCTAAAGAGTGCCATTTCCAGTCGACGCCGTTTGGACCAACATTTCGTTTAAGAACAGCACAGTTTCGATCTGGCAAAGGATGACCTGCAGCCCAATTGAAATATGTGGTTTCTCTGCCATTAACCACCCATTTAAATGGGCTATTATCAACTGATGTATCACGATATAATCCAATCCAAGTCCACATTAGCCATTCTTTACCGAGAAATTGATCAATTTGCTGCTGAGTATTCATGGAATCGATGACTCCCAAATCTGCTCCATAGTATTGGCAGATAGATCTTGCATGGATAAACCATTCTGGGTTGAAGAATCGTCGAAAACAGAGATTACCATGTTGTGTCCAGTTTCCAGGGCAATTTTTATTGACTGTACCTAAATGAAAAATTCGTAAGTAATACGATTTTATTGTTTGAATCTTTTATTTATTACTTAAAAGCATGATTGTGTCAAAATACTCGGCTAGTAGTTATACCCTCTTGTGCTGGAGCCATCATTCTGTTAAAAGAACTTCTAATGCCTAGTGAAAAATTTAAAATCAAGGTTAAAATTTTAAGGATTAAATAAAAGATTATCCAATATCGCTGTGTGTAAGAGTTTAATGTTGAAAAACGATGATAAGGCTATTTAAAATAATTTGACACCAGCAAAATCAATCATACATCTGTATCCATATATTCGTAGCTAAGTAGGATTTAAGATTACGATAATTAAACCTAATTAAGCATGAAAGGTGAAGATCTAAAGTTAGAATTACATATCGGATAGAAAAAATAAGATAATTTTACATTGTTGTGATCGGATGTTTTCGCTAATCAAGTAAGGTATGTTTAATATTTCTACCATTAGATTAAAATTGTTGCAAATTCGAAGCTTGAATTAGGTTAATTCGTTTATTTATCTTCTATTAGCAATATTATAACTCTGCCTTACACCGTGCTGTATATTAAGATACACGTAACATGGTTAGTGCTGGACTATTGAAGTGATTAATGGACTAAAGTTCATTAGAGACTATCCTGTTTTTAATAGTGTCGTAAATTCATAATATTAAATCAGATAATAATATTATAAATTCGTATTGGTCTAATTCTCACTGTCTAGTTTTGTTTTCTATACATGTAATTATAGTGATTAGTGTCGAATAAAATTATAGCAATATGATACAGTAGAGTTCAGTCATTAATCAAGTATTAACGCAAACATACAATATTGAGCTAGATAATAATGTAATCAATTCGTAATGGTCTAATTCTATACGCCCAACATTGCCTTATATGCACATTATCAGAATGAATAGAGGTGAACAAAATTATAGAATAATGATGCAGTATAATTCAGTCATAAATTAAGTAAAGAAAATAATCATATTAATTAATCTGATTAGACGATGAAGGCTTTAAGGCTAATTATACTATAAAGATGATAATGCTAGGAAAGATACCGATTACTGTAAAAACTGTTTAATAAAATTTAAAGATATGCCAATTGCTCGAATAAATATAAACTACCTGCTCCAACAATAATTAACCAAGCGAGTTTAGAAGAACATTCTAACTTGTTAATTACTTTTACACTGCGCTAATAACCGAACACTATTTCTATCGCTACATTATCAAACTAAAACAATTTACTTGATAATAGTAAAATCTGCATTTCTAAGTTAGGATCATGATTTAGTCTGCAAATTCTAGAAGAAGAAAAATGATCGGAAATCTCTTTTACATTGAGTTAATACCATAGATTTTATTCTTACCTTTGCGTTGGCAAATAAACAAGCGTTGTTCTGAACAGTTGCCAAGTCTCCAAATGCCTGGTTGATCTACCAATTTATCCAGTACACCACATTGATCGGTAGTAATATTGCTGGGTTCATCGGCTGCCCAGTAGAATTTACCAACTGTTATATGTTTATCAGTAATCCAATGAAATCGTCCATATTGATTTCGTTGCATACCAAACCAATAAGTTTCATTTATAGTATCATCATATAAAAGATAGTGATCGATTGCTAATCGTTGTGGATTTGTAGGAATAGTGACAAGATGGGAACTATTTTGTTCACAGAATCTTTGAGCTGAATCAAAGTCCAGTTTAATGTTCGATCTTTGGATGCATTGTCCATTTCCATAAGGTAGCCAACCTTGTGGACATTCATCTAATCAAAAATTCAACTCAATCTTGAGAATTGAATATAGATCGGATCACTTCACTATACTTAATTTAGTCTAGGTATTTATTCTAGACAAGATAGAGTAGGATATTTTTTCTGTTGCTAGTGAACTTACAGTACAAATCATCGAAATTAGCCAAGTATTTGCCAATTGCTGATGACGAGATGGATATCAAAAATAAAAGCTAGAAAATAGAGAAAATAGGATCGACTTATGAATCTATTAGCAGTGAATGAACTTCTTCGTGAATGTTAAGCAGCGTGGCGCTTATGGAATATTCCAACGAGAATAAGTTTTTAACTCAGGATTAAGTTTCTAAACGTGTACAGGTAGCAATTTTAAATTTCATGTACTTTTTTACTCTCTTTCGTTCGCTTACCGCACAATAATAGGAGGGCATGTTGATTTTTTGGATTCAAAAGATTAAATATATATATACCAGTAATTGACGATAAAATAAAAAATAAAGATTTTACTTTACTTTACTCTGAAATAAATTTTTTTCTCACTAATCCAAGTCGGCTTATGACTCATCATATATAGCCGTTTAACATGTTATGATCAAAGCAGCAGCTGTTCTAGTTGGGAATTAGATATAGTTAATTTAATTGTGGATTTGAATAAAAGCCACTCGCTTTTCCTATTAATTTGTTATTAGATATAGATTGGAATTCATCAGGTTAAATTAATAATGATTCTTTCCTGTTTATTGACCCCTTTTATATGTTTAAAGATTCTAAATCGCTTCTATCTCACTATACTTCATGCAAGGAATGATAAGTAGATTTAAAGGTCGGAATAATAATTATTTGGCATTGATGATGATTGAGGTAATTTAATATGTAGGTATTATCGTTACCATCAAGATTATATAATCAATCTATCCATTGCTATTAATAGCAATATTGTTAAGATACTATATCGTTGGTTAGCTAATTTTCCACCTACTAATAATGGCTTACTGAACAATTTTAGAACCGGAATATTCTCTTATACTGTACTACTTTTAATAATATATCTTTTACTGGTAGCAAAGATATTGATTTGTATCATTATTGAGCTGCTTTATGAAATATGAAGCCTGATAACTTTAATTATAGATATTTTCCTGTTGTCTCATGAATTATCTATTCTCGATTTTCATAGCTATATTAGTAATTATAGTAAACACCTTATGTACGGCATAAACAGATTTTAATGCAAATTTACGGAGATTAGACGGTTCGAAATTGAAGGAATTCCTTATTTTCAACGGAAACCATTTATCTTCTGCCGTTAACAGTAACATTATAGATTATTCATTCTAAAATTATATTATTACAGCCCTTCACTCAAAATTGTATTTGCAAAAATCAGTAGATATGATGTCGTAGATCTAGGATTACATTAAAACCAAATATATATATGAGTAACCGCGTAAGGATATAATTTACTAGAACAAGTCCTCTAAAATCGTAGATTTAGCTATATGATGCTGTTACAAATCTTTTTTGTAACAAGAAACGGGTCTTAAATACTAGGGAAAATTATTAAAATATAAGATCAATTTTTATCAATTGTTAGGATAAAAGACAAAATTACTATCTTCACTAGTACTCATGTTCCCAACTAACTTAGGGACCTATCGTAGTTGAACTAACTCTCAGCTACACAAATAAGCTACTAATAGCCTAGACATAAGAAATATTAAATTACAATAATTAACTACATACTGTGTTACTCTTAATTAGATAATCTCTGAAATATTCTTAGACACTATTATGACAATTATCTATTTCACATTAGCTATTTCACTATAATTAATATATAATTCAAGGTGTCATTGCAATTCGATTCTCTTTAAATTTATTTTATTTCAATAAAATTAAATTTTCATTTTTATCGATAATGAGACTAAGTCAATCATTTCTAAGAAATTTTATGCTATTTCTGAGACATATTGTTGTCTCTCATAAAAATTGAGACTTTAAGGCTATTACTATCTGCTTTAAGATGCACATTTTCGGATATCGATGCTTTGTAAGCCGATAAATAGACTCCAACAATCTAAACTATTTCTATTACTACTATTACTATTATCAGTGAGAGAAATATTAGCTTCAATTCGAATATTTTGTTACTGATTAATTATCTTCAAATTTCCAAGTTTTGATTGCACTAATAACAGTCCATATTTCTTACCTATCTATGAAACAACAATAAATATAATCATAAATCCTGTTATCGATATGTGTTGTATAATTGCATTAAGAGATAATTCGATTTAAAGTAATAGCATTAAGATTAAAATTGCAATGGTATTATGTCACATAAAGCATTCTATGTTTTACTACGCCTAATTTCATCTAAATAAAAATAAATAAATAAAATAAAAGTAGATACTATAACCCTTTTGTTGACTAATTCTGTATAATAATAAACTTGTTATGCAAGCATTACGGTGATAGAGGGGTATAAGTAATAATAACTAAAATAGTAAATGACTAAAATAAGGTAACGTAATTATTTAATGCTATGAAACTGCTGTTCGTGTTGATACTAAGAAAATAAGAAATTCTCAGTTGGCTACGTGAAATGAAGTGTATTATGAACTCTATTGGAATAAAGCTCATCTACAGCAGCGATAATTAATCATCCTTCTATAGAAATAATGTTGCAGGAAAGTAGAGATAATTTATTAATATCCATGATTTATAATGGAGAAAAATTCGATCATCTTTGTAGCTTGATTTTAGAATCTTTTCTGTTAATAAAAAGGCTGAAATTGCCTTAATTAACAGCAAAATTGAAGTCATTGAACTTTCAATTAATTCATTTCGATTACTGTTAATGATATAATTGACTTTACAAGAAATTTTGCGAATGAAATAACTTATTACAATTCTACTGAATAGTCAACTATAGCACTTCCATGATTCTGATAATTATTAGCTGATAAATCATGCATAAATATTTCCAAATGCTAAAGACTATTTAATTATTAAAAATGTTTATTTCAAAGAGAAATATTAGTCGCTGAATTGACTTGAAATTTTAATTTATGAAATTAACTTATTTATGCACTCCAACTACGAAATATTTTGTTATTATTCATCAACGTCTAATATAATTTACCAAAATTATATTATATTCAGCAATGCTTTCATGAAGCTCTATGAATAGTTTACAAATTAAAGCTTTTTGTATTAGAGATATTATGAACACCTAAGTTATTAAGACAGTACCAAAAGGAACAACTAAGTAAAATTGACTGCCCAATAGTATCATTAGCTACAGTTTCAAGATAAACGATATGAAAATCTAATGTATCTGTCATTAAATCTTAAAAGTTGTCCAATCTCTTTATAGAATTATTAATTTACGCTATAATGAATCTAGTATGATAAATGAAGTCCGAATATTTCGTGTAATAATGACATGGGTGTTGCTGATATATTATTTGTCACCTTTACTTTAGATGTTAATCATTTTGTTACTGTAGCTGCGATAATTCCTATATAAAGTTACCAAAGTTTATCAAGCACGTAGCAATTTTGATTAATCATTAGTCTACAACTCTATATTGCTCAATATTATGTACTGAAGTAATACTTGTACTGTATATCAAATGCATTCATTCAAAGGCGGTGGAGTTTCGAATAAAGTAAATTTATTATTCTCCATTTGGTAATGACATAACGTGTAACACCATGTATCGGAAGCAAAACTTAGCTGTGACTTAAAGATAATTGAAAGATTATAGGCTTACATAAAAATTCTAAGAAACCAATATAAATGGATAACAGGAGACATGATATATTATGTATAGCCACAGAGAATGATTTTGCAACCATAATTTTGCATCTGGATCAAATGCGAGTAAGTCTATATGAAATTGATGACAAGGATTATAATAGTGCCTCGTAAAGATTTATTTTCACGAATATTGCTATAATAGCTTTGTTGCAGTGAATCTGACAATAATGAATACCGAGTAAATTGATCACAATCTGGGTCTATTTCACTCTCAAAATCTTTATTTGAGACTGCTTTAATATCTTACTAACACAATGCCGCCCTGCTATCCACGTTTACACTTAAAAAATATTGTACTTTAATAACTCACTTATATAATTTCCGTCATGCGTTTAAATAAAATTAATCTTACAACAAGCCGCTTATTATACTTGTGAGGAAGTTGTTAGTCTTACTTACAGTATCTCTCCGTAGTTAGTTGGAGTGACTAAGTAGCTAGTAAGTTAGTTGATCACTCACATTAGAAGAGAGTAGACAGCGGGATTACTCCTGTGAATGACATGAAGCCATTAATAGATTTAAGTTTAATTAGCAACAGAATAGATTGACCTTTTACTTATTTTAAATCCGATCTATCTAGATATAAATATTCAATTTTGCATTTATAATCTTGTGTATTAAAATACCATGTCACAACCGAGATTGTAACACAAGAATTAAACGGGATTCTTTCCTCTAAAGTAGACTTAACTATCTAAGCAACTAACTCTAAGCACTCTTTAATCAACCAAACTTAGATTCGAGTCTTAGACGATAGATTACTCACGTTAAGGATCAAAACTTTATTCTAGAAGCTATTTTATTAAAATGTCCGATTGAACGCACAACTTACAATTACGAGTTCGTCCAATCCGGACGATTGAAATTAAGAGTAGTTATATCACTTATCTCTTTCTGAATTATTTGCCCTTATAATGACCGAGTAATAGTCTTTTACTATTACTATAGCATAACTATTTATCGACAGAAATTTCTCGTGTAACGGTATATGCCGTATCCGTATGTATTATTTTCTTCATTTACCAAATTTGTTGTAATTATGAACTAGTGTTTACGTAAATAAAAGATGTAACTAATGTATTTATATAGTTTTGAACGCTTATTCAATTAAAGGACATAAAATTGATTCGCTAAGATACAGGTATAAATTATGGTTTGGCGTCATTCATGATAGTTCAATTGAAGCCTTTAGACATTTTTAGAAACATATCTAGCTTAGCTATAGTCTTAGTAGTTTATAATCATTCAATGAAATTTTAACTTTGTTTAAGCCATCATTCAGTTTCGCTAAAATTACTTTATCGTTGCAATATCTCATCATAGTTAGTACCTACAGTCAATGTGTTGTAAGTGAATATGTTCCTTCAAAACTATGTAGGAAAGGAAATACCATAATATTTTCATTTTTTATCAAGGATTGTAGGTAGGTAGGACCATCGACTGCTAAACTTTCTTCTAGAAGTGCATATTAGCACCATTATTTATTATAATGAGTTTTATTGAAGTATTTACATTAGAATCTGCTGTATCCGTAGAGGTTAATTATATTTACTATATGTACAATGACAATCTTGAATTTAAGCTCATTAAACTTATAAATAGCAAAATTTTAGATCTGCAGTATCTTTTAGAAGAATCTAATACTCCGGAATTAAGAGTGGACAATTGTGGCTGAATATGGATAATCTTGAGATTTTAAGAAAAAAATTTCGAAATCGAAATCTATCACGAAATTCTGTTAAGATTTGTGTAGAAGTAATTTAGACTTTCTCGATTGAAATATTGTACATTACATGATCAGACTGGATTTCGAAGAGATTCTGAAAGGAACCCTTGGGATGATTTACGAAAATAATAACTCTGCATGAGATCGGATATAAAATACTGTTAAAATTTATTTTAGCTGGTTCGTCTTGAAATAAATTAGACTTTATAATTTCTAGTAATCTATCGTCTAATTGCTGGCTTCTATAGCTGACTAAAGATCTTACTAGGAATCGTAGTTCCTATCTACCAGATTGCTCAGTGACTGTACTCTAGAATAGTTTAGGAAATCTGCATACTAATATAGCGGTATTATTGTAGTAGTTTTCGATGAGAGATTACATTCTTCCAATGTGTTACTTTCTTCGACTGGTAATATAAAGATACTGAGAACATATGCTTACGTGAGTATGGAAATAGCTCGATAATGTGTACCTACTATCACGGTTGCTTAGAGTTTAAAATCAGTAGAAAGATGCATAAAGTTGTTAGTGCTGAAGATACAGCCTCTCTTATCACTGCCAAATAGTGACTAGATAATATCTGTGTTTACTACTAGCTCCCTATAGCTACGAGTAAAATTATAATAAAATAATAATGAAATCCTCTTCAATTAAAGTTTACTATATAACAGCCGTTACTTCTTCAAAATATCGTAAAATTTTATAGGGTCTCTCACTATCTGTAAACGATTACTAGTGACATGTTGACACCTACAAATCCTATTTAATTAGCGTACATGATGTGATGAATGTTCTATTCCACCAAAATAATACGATTGCAATACGACAACGAATCTTTAGCTTAAATGATTTCTAACTTATTGGTGATGATGAGAATTGTAACCGCGATTGTGGCAAACATCGTATTAGAAACTGCACTCTAAATTGAAAAATTTTCACGTTTCTTATCCGTTTTGGCTGTTTCTACTCAAGATTTTGACCGTATACAGTGAATTATAAACTCTATAAAATTACTAGTACTGCTATGATTCCGACGAATCGTTGATCTACATTAATATAAGTTAGATTCGCTCGGTAGAAAATTTAAAAATTATTAATATTATTAAATAATATCGTACAGCATGCCATAATTGTGCTGTATTACTTATTCTACAGCACAGATTTGGTAGATTGAAAATCCTAAGGCTAGGGATCGAAGTTTATCCTAGAATTCTCGCGAACACAAAGATTATATTTAAGAGTAAGTTCTATTCGATGTGGTTGTTCAACTTGCCATTTTCAAGATTAATTCCAAACTGCGATAAATAAGATAATTTATGTGCAGTAGATGAAAGGTCAACATTAGTATATTACTATGGAATTAGAATAGTAATAAGCTATATTAATAAATATTTTTAATTCATATTCCATTTTATAATTTAATCATAGTTGCAGTGGCAGCTTATACATGCTCTTTCTCTCTATGGATAGATGAAAAAGGAAGCTGATACTCTAGTGATGCGATCAATATCTTACTGTGTTAGTTCGTTATTAGGATTTCAACGGCGATGATCATTCTCCATATATTTATTCTGCTATTTCTTGTCAGTATCAAAATTTAGAGCAATATTATAAATTAATATTGGACCACACGTTCTCCGCTGCCATATTCTGGTATTCTTTCAAGCTAATAATTTATCGGCTTATCTTGCAATGGAAAGGCTTAAATTTAACTACAGATTTTGTAATTACGAAATAAAACCATTAACATGCGTCAAATGCACTGAGTTTGTTCAGGATTTTTATTGAGTAGATCAGCACTTGAAATTCTAATCTTACATGTATTTAAAAGCTACTAGAAAATTTTACCGTGACTATGAATTAATTATCAATTCAATACTTCCTTTCGAATAAGACGACACTCTATTCGTTGAAAATATTACGAATATCAAATACAATTACAACCTAGTAGTCCAGTTTAAACACGGTAAATTGTTCTATGTAAAGTTGGCTACTGATCGATATACAGATATATCGCAATACAAGGCAATCTGATGAACAGAGTTACGCTAATATTAAAATGCAAGGAATTAATAATAGCAGAATAGTACGAACTTTGAAAGTTGATATGATCATCAATTTCCAAAATACCATTTAATTCAAGATAGCACAATTACTTGCTTTCAATCTTAGAAAGAGATCTACTTGCAATAACATTAGTACAGATGGTGTAAAGAAGAATTATATCTAGCTGTATCGATATAGTATGAGAAGAACTACATCAATAGATAGAGCCTAATGGCATTACAATATCTCCAACGTCATTTTTATCTTTAATAGACGGATCACGCTTTAAAGTTTTGATCACCAATTCTTTAGTCTAACAAGCAATGATTAAGCAAAAAATATCCATTTAAATGATTCGGCATATTTTAAGATTTCTTTGCGATATATACGGTAACAAAACAGAAGGTAAAAGAAATTTCCGGTGAACTGGGTAAGAATTTCAACGCTAAACAACTGTATTTATTTAGAGCTGCTTTCGTTATGTCAATCCACGTAATTTTAAGCAGCTAGAAGATTGATAAGTATAAAATAGTAGCTACAGATAGCCATAGATAAGATTTCATTCGAATATTATGATAAAATTAAGAGCGTAACTATAGACTAGAGCATTTTTCTATATTCCCATTAATATATTACAGATAGGCTTTAATTAAATATATGATAAAACAATACGTCCCTTAAGAAGACAGAAGATGAGAAAAAGGTTGGGTGGGTGTGATATATACCAATCACGAGATTCCAAATTTTAGAAAAATAAGGGCTTTATTGAATCTTATACAAAGATTAACTACACACAGCTCTACTCTAGCCGAATACTACTTCTAAAGACTTCTAGAACGAACTAACAGAATAATCTAAAGTTGCATGCTGTTATACTTTCCATAGCATTCGCAGCTACAATCCGCATGGCAACCTTTTACCTTATTTTACACATAGTTAAATTATTCTTAGTAAGACTATTTTACTACGGACCATCATTAATCCAATATGGATACGACTACAGTGCTTACGTAGACATTATTCACACCAGCCAAAGTACAATGAATTAACCATATCCTAATATATGATTTACAGTTCTATTTTTACCTTTAGCCTTATTAGTAACTCAACATCTTACTGTATATAGTCATCTGTACTCTAGCATAGAGTCTCTACCACTACAGTCTATAGTTATAGCTACCAAATATCTCTTAGGATAAATATCTACCGTACATTATACTAAACATGGCTAATAGTCTACAATCACAATACTACGGTAGTTACATTACAGTAGGTTATAAAAACTTCAACGCTAAACGACCGTAATTACTTATAACTGCATTCATCGTATTGATCTGAGTAATGTTATGCAGTTAGCATGTTGATTAGTATAATATATTACGCTGTAAGTAGTGATAGATAAAATACCATTCGAATCTTGATAAAATTAAAATCGGAAAGATAAGAATACATAAGAACGTTTATCTATATTCTTATTGGATATTTCTGATAGGCTTTAAATGAATATAAGGCGAGATATATCATGAACTATACAAGCGAAATAATAAGTCGAAGAGCCGATAAGCAAGATAAGAATAAATTGAGATAATCGTTTTAACCATATTCAAATCTTTGCATTTAATAGAAATGCACCAGGATTGCATTGGCAGAAAATATTATTGATTCAGGAAACTGCAAACCTTTGTTTGTGTTTTTTGGCAATAATTTTGCACTTTATAACTTAAACTCCTCTTTCTAACTCTAATAGTCGTATTTATCGTAAGTGCCACTTAAAACATGAGTTGCAATGTTAAGAATGCAATAAATTTTTATGCTTGTAGTATATTGATTGGTTTTATTCTTAAAATAACTAGCCGATGAAACTATTTGAATCTAAATATATTGTTACGAAATATTCTGGTAATAATTATTTCGTGATACATATCTGCTATTTCAATTGTTTCGTGATCCGATTCATAATGATAGCGCAGATACTCTACTCAGTTAGCTATTTCAACCAACAATTTATTTTCGAAATCAGTCAAAAACTTACCGCTTTGTCTATTAGGCAAAAGAATGCAAACATTGTCAAGCTCTACCAACAGGAATAATTATGATTAGTTTAAGACCATATTGATAATGTTTATTACTGATTAGTAGGTCTGCCATTGTATCTCTAGTAAATTATCGAACAGTTGCAAGCTCTTCTCAGTCCAAACATACGTTAATTAATAACAGTAGATAGGAAGATTCTTACCTGCAACATGGTTATGGTGAAAAATGGAAACAAAATGCCCATACTGGGCGTCGTAAAAGCTGCATATATGCCTAAAACCATTTTGCAAACGGATAGAAAGAATAGTCCCACGGATCCTAAAGCTTTTCTTCTGTGGAGGAAGCAATTGATGTACTTATAAAAGTTTGCTTTTGTATACAGAAATCGAGAGAAGTAATTTTAATGAAAAATAGACTGTAGTTAAATTTCGTTTATCTTTTCCATGATGAAAGCCTACTTGTGGATAGATTGACAGCTATTTTTGCTTTCATTTTCGACTCCTTCTTGAGATTCCCGGTGTGATGTTGCTTTAACATTTAAGATATTCAAGGCCATACCAATCTTGACGTAAAAATAAACATATATGACACAATCAAATGTTACTACATCGTAAATAATCCATCCTAATAAATTAATAAATAGATGCAAAGCATTATAGATTCTTGTCGAAAAGTAGCTGGATTACTCAAATTAGAAATTGAAACATACCATAAATACAATAACGAAGGCGGCAATATAAGGTCCGATAAGGAAGCTATTTTTTGAAAGCAAGCACCTGTATACAGCAAATATGATTTAGTACTTTATTTAATTTTAACCAATTTGAATCGAATAGTAATTAAATCTGTATATTTATTCAATTTATAAAATAATTTTTAATACTATTAAATCAAAAGTTGCAAAAAACTTACAAGTAATAACCGCCAAATTGATTCCTTTCAAATATACTAGCAATTGCAGCCGTGAGTAACGCTGGAAATACTAGACGATAATAAAGATATATGTAACAATTAAGGTTTGTTACGAATATCGCAGCTACTTCTTGGCAGGCGGTTAATAAAAATATACTACGACTTATATCTATTACATTTATATTGATAAATTTTAAAAAATATTTAACACATACCGTATCCGAGGGATAAAAAAATAAACATTATATTTCGTCCAAATTTACGTCCTTTGGTATCGACATATCTAGCTATGCAATCAACCAATAACCAGAGAACGGCTGTTAGACCAAGACCAGACGTAAAGATACCAAATTTTTGACATATACTCTATTATTTTAAATCAATGCTATATTTATTAGACTCAAAGAGACCTTTATCAATGTAATTTTTAAACTATATCCTCTAAATTAAATTAAGTAAGTATTACGAAGAGGCCTAAGTAAGCTGAAGATGTATTTAATTATATTTACAATCTCAGCTTCATTGATTTTTGGTATATGAAGTCCAATTAGAACAAAGATGATTGATAGAATTTCAGCTAAGCAGCAATTACAGCAAATAAATCTTGTCATGGTTTTCAGCTGTCTGAGTACAATAAAAGTATACAGGTTTGTATAATAGCCCGTACATTTCTATACGCCTTAAACTATGCTTATAGAAGAAGAATAAAATTTGATGGCTATAATTAGACAATCTACCTAAAAAAAATACCACAAAGGAATGTGATACTTAAAAGTATTATTGATATTCCTAGCTGTAATGAACCCCATAAATGATAGGTAAATTGGCTGTTAGCCTGCGATATATTGCCCGTTGTGAATGTTATATTTGGCTAAAGTGTTTAAGAAATTAAATTCATACTAGAAATTAGCGATGAATTATACAGTTTGAACTTTCAAGTATTGTTTTGGGCACGAAATAATTTCGAAATATGATAGCAAATTACTTCCTCAGTTGCAATAGGTTTCTGCTGTATCAAAGTGATTGCATAAGAAATTTCTTGAGTTTTATTAAATTGGCATAAAACACTTCTGTCGGAACTATAACTAGTTTTTATCCCCTTATTAGACCAATATCCATCCTCAGGTTGATGAATACTATCATATGTTGGAATACAAAGAAGAATCTGCTTAGATTGATGATACATGGCATATATCGAAAGTATTTTTGCGTACTCGCATTAATGCATAGTTGATTAAATACAATTCTGTCACAGGCATTAATAATTTAATATCGATAATATTATAGCCGATTTAAGGGCGATAAACTGCTTAAGATAGGAGAGGCTATCAATAATAGCTTTTATATCATTATTCTAATAGCTGATCAATTATACTAGTAAGTAAAAGCGTAACTGAATGAGCAAGCCAAAGAAATTCTTAAGAATTCTATCGACTGTGAGCCTTACTTTATAACGGTCTCCTTGTAAATTATTAAATTACCTCTGAATCCAATAAGCGCACTGTTTATTTCGCACATTATCCTAAAAATAGGTTATTTAGAGAATAAACAGAGCTTAGAAAATATTCTTTATTGCTTATTTGTCATCTAATTTAAAATACTGTGCACTTCAGAGAACTATTTGCCTTTTTCGGAGCAGTTTCATGACTTACCGTATCTGTAAAAGTGACTCTGATTGGATGTATAAATATCTGATCACTTGTAGCATTAATAACCAAGAAAACAATAGGTGCCTGTCTAATAGAACTAATTTGCGTAATAAAGTCACATTGGACAATTTTAAAGTTATTGTAATCGAAATTTAGGAGCTATAGAAGCTAATCTTATTACATATGAACTGATATTGGGTTGATGGATAATCATTGTTACGTTAAAGAAGCAATATAATATGGATAAACGTCATTAAATTTAAATTTACGCTGAGTGGCTATTAAAACCAAATCATAATAAATTGACTGCTTAGCATAGGCAAATAAATCATGTACTGTAATACAAATCTTATTCAAGCTATCATTTTTATATCTTATCGTAATTGGTATTTGAAGATGCAAAACGTGATTAATCTGACTATATCAGAATATATGCTAGCTTGCTAAATAATCACAATTAATGTGAACAGACCGCTGAGTGTCAACGAAAACTGAACATATCGAAAGTTATAATTTAAATTTCGCATGCATCTATACGTATAATCTTCGTAAAATTGTAATATTTGATTTCTAGAAATTTAATACAAACAAATTTTCCCATAGTGTTACAGCTAATAGAAATTAGTTGTTGATCTAAGTACGCTACTCTTTTATTTCATCCATTCTACGGGATGCTGCAATTACTCATACACATAGATCAAACCTTATATCCACCGGTAGATTAGTTTTGTTGACAATAACTGCGATAACTGATATGAAACCTAAGTAATATAATTAACATAAACTATCATTACATATGCGCTACATTTAATGCCTATATTTGAGTATTTAAGAACATTGAGCAGCATTTAACTAATCATAAAATTATAAAGTGTATAATACCTTCCCGATAATTAACGTTGGTCGCAATAGGAACCTGAATTAATGGTGTTACCGTGTCAGTTGTATTCTTAATCATCAAATTAATCGTATCACTCTTGTAGTTGTTGTTAAGATGATATAGTTGATATGTTAAGATAGCATAGACACCTATCAGAAATTATAAATAAATCCAAATTGTAAAGGATAACCTATTCTAATAAGGAAGATTAAAATTTGATCATATCATAACGAGATAATTGTGATAAATAGGTCGAAATCCGCAGAGAGCTACCTGGTAATATGATTTGAGTTTGATTATCAATAGCAAAGTTTTCAAGAGCCAGTGTCGCGCTAAATTGTTTCGTTGTATTACTGAAGCTCGAAATTAAATCATCCATTTTTTGCTAAGAAGAACATAGGAACGAAATTGTTATGTCAGAATCCGTAATGGAGATGGCATTTCCGAGTTTTGCCTGGGAATAGCTTTTACGTCGCTTTTATGGACTACTAATAACAGATCTTCCTTAAATTATATTATACCTTAATAAAAGTAATTATAATCAGACTTTTTTTATCTCCCAATTAATTTCATTTAGCAATTTATATAATCAACAATCTTTATTGACTATAACCGTCTTGTAGATTTCTAATAGTAGTTTGAATTTCTAAATTATCTCTACTGCGGTATTGATGATATCAAATAAACATATTATAGGTACCTGATTTTGATGATCCAAGGACGTTAATTCGGAAGTAAAAGATTGCTGTAGTGACTTAAAAGTAACTTGCTCATTGGTTAAATCTGTTTAAAAATTTTAGGGATTAGATATAGAGTAAAAGAGTAATAACCATTTAATTCTAAAAGTAGGGCTCACTTTTAGAGCAAATGAACCATGAATGGTAAGAATCACATCCATATGATCTCCATTTCCAAGTCATATTTCGTTCAACTGTTTTATGGCGATGAAGCACAGTGCAATTGATACTTTTGCGTGGATTATTAGCATGCCAGTGAAAATAATGGCTTTCTTCTTGCGATTCCATCCACTTAAAATGATTACTTCGACTTTGATATAGACCGAAAGAATACCAAAAATAGGATAAACCTTTTGTATTCAAATAGTGATCGACAATGTTTTGTGTTCTTCTAGAAGAAATTTCGGCAAGATCAGCCCTCGCATACTGGCAAATTTGGCGTGCTTTGACAACTGGTAAGGCATAGTGGAAAGCTTTAACACAGTAATCTTCAGTTGGTCGATACCAGCCAGTTTGACATTTGTTATCTTAAGTATAGGCAATTAAAGTATAAAAACATAGTATAGTCAGTATGCCTTACAGCAATCATATGACAAAGATAATGCTTTGTGGATAGATGAGGAATCAGTACCACAGATGTCAAAGGTTGCTCAAGATCAATACTGATTCTATTTGTATTTTTAACATTTAAAGCGCTAAAAGGAACTGGCATTTATATTATGATTACTTACTGTCACAACTACGTTTACGACATAAGGAAACAACGCAGTACTTATAATACACTTTTCTGTACTTTAATCTGTAGAACTACTTCCCTAGGCTACCATATGTATAGTATTTGAATCATTGCGAAGTATACACTAACTCACTTAACATAATATACGGTAAAAAATTCTCACATAACTTATCCTAAACCTGAACCACTTTTATTCACGGTATAAAGTTACTGAACCTCTGACAGGTCTACGACAAATGGTAATACTATCTGTTAAATGAGCACATTATCGTAAACCGTCAGCAAAGCGACGGGAGTTTGTACTAGTATATTTCAATAACAAACATTTTATTACGATTAAATTATCAAATACGGGCATTCGATAGTAGTCCAAACTTCCAACAAGTTCAAATGAAGTCTTATCTTAAACTACATGTCTATATTTAAATTATTTTGATGACTGTGACACTTACATATATAATTCATATCTAATAATCATATAAGTGAAACCTAGACTAAAAATAAAGTATTTAAATGTTTGGTAACGAAATAGAATTTTGGCTAGAAATTTAAGTACGTTGCTTATATCACATATTTATTCGATCGTTGGTTGACTTGTTCTTGTCTATGGTACATGGTAACTTAAGCCTAAAGCTTGAAGTGTGCAGCATGTGAATGCAGATAAATCATTTAATCCAACGCCGTGTTACTTGTTATAGGTTTTATGTCGGTCCATTATCTTACGGTGTTTAAAATGCCAATACCAACAAAATCTTCATTTTTTTTCAACTATTTAACAGTATGGTAAAAACCGTAGGTCTTACGGCCGTACTTTGGCTCCACTATACTCATTTGGCGATTTCTCGTTTAACTTTGCATGGAAGTATGAGAGTTACAGAATATTAAGACTATTTTAGATAAATTTAGATATCATATTACTAGCACTATTTTATAATTAATCTAATCGATTAGTTATTCTTCCGTAACAATGTTCACACACGAAAAGGATGAAAATAAGATAAAAATCTTACACTAAAGTAGATATTTTAAATGTTATAGGGTTATTTTAATTTACTATGATACTTCAGAATTATATCATTTCTGAAGTCTATTTTATTAGGCCTTTCATTTTTAGTTATGAGCCAAATCTATAATTGTATATTAGTATAATTACGTAAGCTGTAACTATATATATTTATTATCAATAAGAAATGGTAGGGCAGGACTTTAGTCATACTTTTGAAATCAACTTTAGGCTAGCGAAAACATGAAGCTTACTTACCGGTTTTAAATGGTGCGTTAAGGTAAGGCACTATCTCTCGTAAAATACCTTATATTGGGGTATAATTAAGAAATAGAAATAGGTCAGATGTTACTTGAAGATCTTCGATGGAAATATCATGCAAATGCATTAATTGAATAGCTTTGCTAACCATTGTTTTGGCAAAGAAATGGTAATTCATCGCTACAGTTATGCTCTGCTAAAACCCATCTATCATGATAGAAAGAATAAGAAAGAGCAACACAAGATGGGATAGTAGAATTACTTAAAGTGTTCGGCGCCAAACTTGTCAGTACTTCAGGAGAGATGTAGGAATTCGGAGTGCTTATCCAAGAATAAAAGCTACGATGACCGCTGAAAGTAGCCTTTTTCATACCAATCCAATAAGATGGTGAATAATTTTTATCCAATAAAAAGTCTACAGTCATCATATAATCTGTATTCCTCCGTAATTCCAGAAGCGTAGCATTATTCATTCCTTGGCAAAATCTCTCACCATTATCAAAATTCATGTACTGTTTAATTCTTAGGCCGCACGCTTCTTGGAATGGCAGCCAATCATTTTGGCAAAAGTCTAAGCTCAGCATAAAAATAGAATTGAATGTTTTAGTTATTATAGTGTAATTATTTTTTGCCCTCGAATCAAAGCCCTGATGATGTTATATTAACTAAAAATAAATCAGATCTGTAGTGAATAAGACGTAATACATTTCCATCGATATTAACAATTTCGGATCATATATATGTTAAATAAGTACCAATTTAGGGAGTGTATGGCTGTATTACCAGTTGATTCTATATTAATACACTGGCATCATATTATTAGACATCAAATACAATTGTTATAATCCACGATCTAAGATCACATATTATTATGACAAACTAAACGTGATACAGCCTGGTAGCACCATAAAGTTGACTATGTAATTAAAAAATTGCTATTTAATGGGCAGTTTGCAAAATGACCGATTTCGTATACGGTCATGTTCTTATATATTACTGGGAACTGGAAAGCATTACAAAATTGATTCTACAATAAATGTCCTGTACCAAGTGGGCAGGAAATTAATTGCAGCACTAACTGAATTCATTTATACTCGTATCATTTATGATCATGAATAAATTGATGGCAAATTATTTATGTAACATGGATTCATTTTTTTGGTTCTTTTTGAATTTTTTAAAATGTATGATGTGACAGTGTATGTTACACATTATCTAACTACATTACATTTATTCAGCTTAGGAATTTATGTTGTAATTAGAGAAAAGAAGCTAATTTATTAGTGAAATAATAATTTGCGTTATTCATGTAAAAATCCTTAAATATTTTAACAACACAGCGGCATATTAAGAATGTTCTTCTTAGAACTTTTTATCATACAGCGAGTCACAAATGGGAAATTATTGAAATAACATACCGTATATATGGTTTCTAGCAGGTTAATATAGTGTGGCAACCTTTGATTTTACAGAACTAGTGTTACTATTTAGATAACTTTCAATACCTCTAATATAGGGAATTTTGATGGCCAATGCGATCATTAATTATAAATTAAAATCCACTAATGCCACTATATCACCGTAAAGATCGTATTTATAACCATGGTATTTACTTTGATCAAACCATTATCTAGATTCAATATTTTCATATTTATCAGATGATACAACTTAGCGATAATCTGATAGTCTCAACAATCGATAGTAACATATTAAATGCTACCGCCATGTCGTTAACGATTTTGTTACATATGGGATACAATATTGATAAAAATAATTGGCTAAATTCAGTATTTACAAACTATTTTGAACAGATGAGGTAGATATGCGCGAATGATCAGTTAAATATTAGACCATAACATGATAAGAACCAAATACCATGTTGCTACTATTCATAAATAATCTCGATAGTAAAATTTTATTTTAATCAGTTTAAAAGTTATCTTAATTCCCAAAGCTTCAGAATTTATTCTAAAAAATCTTGGAATGCATACGTACAATCTATGATTAAATGATTATGCATTCTATCGCCGTATATCATCCTAAATTTACGACTTTAATAAAATCATTAGCTTAATTATCTGTACAGTTCTACAATGTGAAAGTTATTGGTCGATATTTTACATCAAAGTAATGCATCTTTCTGCTTAATTGTTTACCAATATGTGGCCCAAAATTTCGCTTTATTATACGATCAAATAATTAACTTACTCCTGATATACGAGTGTACGTGTATTTTAAACCTACTGGAGTCTTTAGGACAGCCTTATTTCTACTGTGAGCTGAATTGCTGTAGCTAGAATATAATTACTATTTAAGTAAACAGTCCTTTTATGTTAAATCTATAAAATATTACTTGATCACACGACATTTCATTTGGCTATTCAAGTAAATAATCCTGATCTGTCCATAGAATATATGGCTACAATAAAGCTTGCTTCTAGCCCTATTATAGCCAGTAACTAGAACAAATTTGATTTCGTTTAAGCAAAGTAATCCTGATATATTCAAAATATAGACTAGGATATGAAAGTGGTAGTTATTGTAACCCTTCCCATATTCCTAAAGAGATAATTTATCTTGTGATTCGCAATTTACTTACAGAAATCTAAGTCATTTTTTAATTTTTTTAATTACTACAAAGCACCTTACAGATATCAGCAAATTGTCGAATTAATCAAGAATAATCTTAATTAATATCAGTTATAATTAATAGCTCCCGTCTGGATTATAGAAATAGTTTCTCGCTCAATAGCTGAGGAGACTATTACGGTAATAAATATCTTAAACTGGCAAATAGACAGCCTTTGCAATTAATTCTTTGAATTCTTATCAATACTGATTGAACACTAACAAGCCTCTCTCTGGTTTATGCCAATTTTACTCAACTTATTTCTTACAGTGATTTATAAATAGCATTTATTAACCTGAAGAAATAAAATACTCGTATTGCCACCCTTTTCTTGATGATTAATTACTACTTGTTTCGATATAAGCTCATTAACCTATAGTAATATAATGCAGTTCAAGCTTTACTCACTTCAAAATTTAAATTTAAAAATAAGATATAAGTATGGAGCTGTTGTTTATAATCCAAATAGTAATCGAATTTTAGAGATTGTACAACAGCAATGAAAGGTAATGAATTGAAATTTGGTTAAAAATGTTTACGATGCGGTCCCAGTAATCTCAATCAGCGACGACGATCTTAAAAAAGTTACCAACTCAAATTTAGCTTATTCTCTATTAGTTGTCACTGTTTTAGTATCATTCAATTTTAGTTAAAAAGTACAATGAATGCTTCTATTTCAAGCCAATTAAGGTATATGAACAAAATGATGAGAGAATGGTGAAAATAACATATTGCTTATACTTACGGAAACATTGATGGTGGGCTTGGTTGCAAGAATTTCCAGCAGAGTCTTGAGATATCCCATAACTACTACTTAAGTACTATTTAATATGGATAAGAAATAAGATATTACATGACAAAATATTGTAAGGGATTCGATATGGTAAACCTGACAATTATAAAAGATTTCGATCGATACTTGATGAATATTTGCTAAATTTCTTTCATTGTAAAACTGTAAGTTATAACTTTAATTTGACTATCTCACATTGATCTACCAGTGAATTCGATATAACATACTGACTCTCTATATTTATTCTATCAGCATTGTAAAGGATCGCGGTCACTCACGTAAGATGTTGAAATGAGTAGAGTTAGTAATATCGAACTTGTAGTGGTTAATTTCGGCATGGTACGATAACTAAAAGTAGTTCTAGATAAAATATATTAAATAGCAGCGGTTGATTTATGAGTCAAAGTCCGAACTGAATTCGCATGCGATGATCGCAATAAGACGAAACTTGCATTCTTTCACCACTTATAAACTTAATTGGTTCCAATTACTTCCTTTAAAGAGCCATCGGAATGAAGAAAATGATCGGTGATCTATTTTTGAATATTAATTTGAATGTATTGATATCTTATAATCAAATAGTCGATTCAATTAAAGATAATTACAAATTCATTTTCATGATCAACTATTCTATTTAGTAATAGCATGTCTTTATTTATGATTATTACTATCAATCGAAAAAGGCGATCGATTTTTTAATAGATTAATATCGATGATATCGCACCTTGATGATAAACTATGAAATAAATCAATTTTATTTACCCTAATTGATTCGATTTTAAGCAGGTGTCTAATAAGTTGTTTTCAATCTTTTTTATCGCATTGTTTACATTGTCGTGGAGAAAATCTTTTCATCCATTTTAAGTTCTTTTTTCTTTAGCCAAAAATGTGAAGAAATATCGTTATACAGTACATGGATAGTATGATATACGTTTGCAATATTTCAATCATACTATCAAATAAGTTTTGCAGCAGTATTTAATTTATTGCATAAGAGCGATTCCAGACAGGTCAGATTATTTCTTCATGTTTGTATCCTATCCATGTGGAATTATTAAGAGAGATTGCATGCATGCAAGGGATTAAAATTTTGATCGAAATTGGATTGTTAAAAACTCTTACACTCTTTATCCATCATATAACCAATTCGTATCAGAAAATTTTAGCAGTCTTCATTTTTATTAACGACCGAATCAAAAATATCGCCTTGCATTCATAATTATAATAATTATTATTCCCATTTCTTTCTAACAGGCCAAATTAATCACGATAATCCGTTGATACCTAGCAACGAATCATAATGCCCATAATATCCGGAATGATCCTTTAGCCTAACTGCATGATACGGTGTATTTTAGGGCATTGGTCGTATAGGGTTGCGTGCTACTGTATTACTTATATTGATCAATTTACTCGTCAATGATCGATGGAATGATTTTTCATTCATTCCTTTTATTAGTTTATTAGAGTGTTTATGATTTATCTAGTTTCGAGGAATCCTTTTCCAGCGGAAAGTTAGGAAGCGAGTTTATTATATGATAATTATCCACCCGCTTGTGATACCTTGCCAATACTTTTTATAATTAGAGCATGTTTGTTACGGCACAGCATCTTACTCGTTATGGATCATTAAAAACTAAATCACGCAATTACTAGCCCCTGCTGCAACATCGCCTATAAATACAGGTGCATCATGAGCAATGCCAGTAGAAGGACGTCGATGAAATAAAGAGCTTGTAGTATTTATAGTAAGCTGTAGAATCAGAAGGTATTTCAATGTGTGAAGGTGCACGAGCACAACGATGTAACAAGTCTAGCTCTGACAAATCCTAGAATTGTCATACCAGGGACTACTCTATTTCTATTCTTATAGTTTTCATGCTTGATCGTTAACTTAATATGGTATATTGCTGTCCCTAACTTCGATAGAAACATGCGTCCAAAATCCTATCTCGTTAAGACTGAGTCAAAATTTCAATTAAAGACGTATTTGCTACAAAAACTATGAAAAAAGAAGTAGAGTCGTCAACGTCTACGTAACATCTACACTGCATACTAGATCGATCCAGCGTTTGTTAACAGCTACGAATACGTGGCTGAAATTGTTTGTTACTGTGAGATTGATAGATCAAGAATCTTCCAAACTTTAGAAAATTAAGATTTATTGAACAAAACCTCGTTTACAAAGATACAACGTAATCGATTAGCTGAGGACCTCTAACGAGAAAGAACTCTCTTACTATACTAAACTACTCGTTTATATACTTTTCCGCGTTTACAGTCTTAACACCTTTACTTACTACACACTTCAGTATTAGCATCTCAAATACAGGATAGTTTACAGCTTTTATGTGAAGCTCTAGTGTGAGCACTGTAGCGCTCCTCTTCAAAAGGATTCCAGTTTACTAAGCTAGCTATATTGAATACTTAAGCCTCTAACGAGAATATCTATCCTATGTTGAACACAACACCTACGGTAGACATTACTAAATATATCATCAACTTAGAATATAATATTACACTGCCTTAAAGTTACTAAAGCTCTACTTAGAAGTAGTAAATTTAGATCAAGAATGTTATTCAAATGAATACGACTGATTTGGAAAACAGACACGGAAGATCGTTGCTGAGACGCTCCTTTTCGACATTTTTGGCCTTATCTGGTATGAAAAGTCCGTCCATCCGATGTACGATGCTCACCACCAGTCACTAGCAGCTCAGTAATGTTCTCCAAAATCTTAGGTAGCAGACAGAAAGACGCTGGAAAAATGGAATTACTGTACAGTACAGTACTGTACAATTCATACTGTGCCGTACAGTTAAAGCAGTAGTCCATGGTACGATACCGTCGATAGGGTTACAATCCTGTACTAGGACAGTAGGACTATATGGGGCTATACTGAGTGTGTAGCAAGTAGAATCCAAGTTGGCCACCATTATCAAAGCCAAGGTTTCATCAAACTCCATCCAAATATTTAAATTGTCGCAGCTCAACTTTCAAGTTATTCTTCCATCATGGCTGAGGTAATTATAGATCAATACTGTTCAAAATAGACAGTTAAAATTAGTAATCAGTGTTATTGGATAGACGATACTCCATAAGCCTTTCGAAACTTCATGGAGACTAGAAGAAATAGTTTGTAGCATTTTACTTTCGTAATTCATGAAAGCAAGGAGAATATCTCTCGAGATACTTCACCTAGTGGCAGTGGCAGTCTATTTCGGTCAAACCTTAAACGAATCATTCACCCTCTTCCATGATAGATACTACTGCAGTATACCGCCGTTGCAATGGCTATGACACATGTGTTGTACATTGTACTCGTATAGTAACTATAGTCCATTAGTACAGTCTCCAGTTGGCGATTGACGATGATGAAATTCGATAAGGTTGCACAAGTCTTCATCTTCAAACTAAAAATAAAAACTATAGTGCAAGATTCATTTTAAACTCTTGAAAACAAATTTTTATAGGCCCTAGAATTAAAATACATAACGGTAGGCTATTCGATCATGAGTCGTAGTGCTGCCTGTCATGGATTTCTTCCTTAATTGTCATTCCTCAACTCTTGTCTACCTTTTCTACTATACACTAACTATAAAATAGACATCAATTCTTTTTAACAATCGATAGATTACACCTTCGATCGAGTAAACCCCTAGGTAATTCTGCTTTACTATTAGATGAATAAATAGATTCATCTCAATCACACGGTAGCCACTAGATGAGTTGTACCTTATCCCTGATGGTGGTCATAGTCACTACCATGAATATGGAGCTGGCAACACAGTCGATGTATGATAAACTCACAACAGTCTACATGTACAATGTAGTAGCTGATCGACATTATTCTTCAATGAAAGTAATAAATATCCCCTAATGATATGCTTTTTCTATTTATACCAGCAACTCCAATCTGATTTGTTGAAATTGATTTCTAGGTAAGTTGATCATGGCGACGAGCAAACGTAGCACTATATGTAAATCTTCTTGAAACTTTTGCTGTACGTCAGTTATCGTATCTTAATGTTGCAATAGTAGTCATAGGTACAATGCATGATCTCTAAATTTTCAATATGAACCTTTCCAAGTTTTAGATAAGGGTAGTACATAAAGATTTAGTGTAGATATTAAAAATGCTAATAATCGCAGTCTAATCAAGTCTATAGAAAGGAAAAAACTTATCGCATTTCAGTACCACCCTGTTGTGAATTCGGAAGGAATTAATATTTAATGAATTATATATTTTATGCTCTATTATATAGAATTGAAGGCTTATATAGCGTGGCCGTTAGCGATAAAGATGGTGTACCTATAGTTTATGGTAATAAGTTTTGAAATTAATACTAGATTATTATGCAGTTGGTTTGGCAGTATCGAAATACCACTAGCGTACAATATATATAGTCATAAAATCAGTTTGACAATAAAAAAGATCTTGTACAGTACTTGAATCACGATCTTGGCTAAATGAATTAAAATTTTACATAATCTCACTTTATGATCATATGGGTTCGTAGTTACATCGCAGAATATACCTGAAGTTGATGTCAAAGGCATTTTACCTGCCATAAACGGTATCATCGATCAGGTAGGATGATTGACTATTCATTTGACTAAAATAAGTTCTTGGCTATAATCTAACCGTCAATACAAGTGTATAGAATGAGTTATGAAGATATATTAATCCTTAAACAGTCATTCCTTGACTATTTCAACCCTATTCGAATGTCGTATAGGCTAGTAAACTTAGCATAACTGAAAGCAAGAGCTTGGTTGCTCAGTACAAGTCTTATCAGGTAATTTTCATTGTATGACATTACTAAAGTACCAATATATGATCATTTATCAATCGTAATTTACATACAATAGGTTATACTAATAAATCGATCTCCAGTGTATATATCATTTGTAACAGCAAGGAAAGTAAATACGGGTAGGAAATGGTTATTACATTCAATCGATAGCTTAGTTTCTTTTATCTACAATTAGAAGTTCCTTAATATTTAATCCATAATTATTACCTCGATTAATTTTTATTCTGCTTTAGGATTAATCTTAACATTGGATGACGATGTTATGGATATCCTTGGTGACATCAAATCAGTCATTCGGTAACTTTCACTACAAATATGTGTGTTTATCATTTTTTTGTGGTTAAAATCTTGAAGCCGATTGAACAAAATTTCAAAAATAATTACGTTTACAAAACGCATAAAATTTTGAATATTTAATACTACTTTCGACAAAAATACCCCATTTACTTAGTATATTTTATTATCTATAATTATATATACACTATATTTAGTAAACTGTGTTAAAAATCTGTAATTGACATTTAATATTAGAGTACTATTATCAGCTAATAACTAAATAATATCTGTAAATTAAGACTTCATGGCTTAAATTTTACAATCTACCTTTGGAATTTCTTTCGAAAATTTTTATAATTTTGAATTATTTCATCAGTATTATAGCTACTCTTTTTGAATGTATTTCTTGTATTCATATTCATCAAATTTGACAGCTTCACATGTGCACAAAAGATCTGTGCTCAATGTTTTCGTTTATAATAGTAGTAATATAGTATCGTCAATCGTACTATTTTAAAATGTGAGTATTGTAACGTCGGGTTTTAAGTATAATAAAGAAATGAAACATGATAAAAATCCTTCGAGAAGATAGCTCACTTCATTAATTACTACGTAATATTATCTCAGTTATCATTTGAAAGTATACTAGTGTAATTACTCATACTATCTATTTGTGGTGTAGTTAATTAATTAAAGAGTACTTGCAATTTTTTGTATAACTGCATAATCAATGTTGCAGCTCTTACATTAGGTAATAATATACTTAGATATTTCCAGTAGGAAATCTAATAACTTACGATTAAATAAATATAGTCGAAAAAGCCTGCTAGCAAAATTTTTTATTTATACAACTCGTACAGTAAGTATAATTCGTTAAACTGAAAGTACTTGTCAATGTGACTGTTTGACTGCTGCACTGTAACCCAGTCTCATTCCTAATAATAAACCTACTATAAATTTGTTACCCTGCTAATGCTGAATATTCAAGAAAGGTAGCTGATCTCAAATCATTTTTAAAATTTAGTACCATCAATGATAACTGATAGGTCTATTTTCAATAGGTCAGTAGTGCTATATTAATCAGTATATAACGAAAGGAAAGGATTTAGGAAAAACTACTCCTATTTTTCATTTACACTTACGATATACAAGATAATTATGATTAATAAATACCGTAAATAGTTATTTTCAAGCATGCTATATTGTATCAACGGGCTTTTTTGAACTCTATCATTGGACATGATAGCGTTATAATTCAGTGAAATAGAGTCTATTTCCTTTTAGAGGTCGATACCAGTGACTACTGTATTAGTCACAATACAACAGTTAAAACATAATTAGAAATTCGTCTATGATTTATCATTATGATTAGATGCATACGACATAATTATAAGAAGTAACTTTCGTATAAAACAAACATACACAATACAATAATGACTAGATGTGCCTAATACAATCAATAACAGAGATATAAAATCTACGTTTTAACCTTCAATGCGATCAGACTAATTACATACTGTATATTATCCATAGAAAGTACAAAATTTTTAAACGTGTATTAATCCCTAGTAGATAAGGTGCGTCCTTTTATTAACATGTAATCAGTTCTTTCCAACTATAAGCGCAAGTAGGGCCATTCTTACGTACATTCCATATTCGACCTGTCGAAAGTACGCCGCACGTGGATCCGAATCTACTTCAATGCTAAATAGTAACGATATATTATAAATATGTATATGCGATTAGGTGCGAATATGTCTTTTATTAAACTCAAGGAATTCCCTTCCGTTAATTTAAAATCCGAGAAACAAACCTTATTTCATTCACACGAGGCAGTGGATGTAAGATTGCCATTTTCTCCTTAGCATGGTTGAGAACTTCAGGTGTCAAAACATGGCTACCGAAAACCTGATACAAGGACATAATATTGTTTATTTAGGGTATATAGAGTATATAGAAATTATATTTAATGAGTACTTAGTTTCTACCTTTTCATATTCTTCAACATTTGGAAAGCGCTCCGCTTGGATCCGTGTCATATACAATACATCTGTTTCTGGAAGAGCTTCCTCAATGGAATTGAAGTATTTCTAGTCAATAAAAAAATGAAGTATACAGCATCATTTTGCATTGCATTCCTATTTACCAATAAATACCAAAATGAAAATATTCTTAAAATAATATCAACTCACCTGAGGAATGCCTTTCCCATTTAATTCCGATATAACATCATCAGGCATTTTTAATGACGGTGGGCAAACATATCTCAAGTTTACACGGTATAAAGATAATAATCTTGCCAAAGAATGAACCGTCCTTCCATGTTTTAAATCGCCAACCATTGTAATCTATGCGTAGCAACATGACCATTAATTTCAAATACGAAGAAATATATTAACTTTTAATGGCTTCATTAGTATTCCTATTGACTAACCGTGATGTCGTTGACTGTACCGATTTCTTCTCTTATAGTAAATACATCCAGGAGTGCTTGAGTTGGGTGTTCTCCAATCCCATCACCAGCATTAATGATAGGTTTAGTTGCTATTGCAGCAACCCTCTAAGATAAACTTACTTATTAATCATAACGCTACCGACAAATAACCAACAGAGAAATTTTTAATTACTTTTACAATTCCGGGTTCAGGGTGTCTCAAGACGACTAAATCACAGTAAGATTCCATGACATGAACTGAATCTGATTAATCGATTTGAAAAAAATAATTAATTCGCAGAAATTCCATGAAATGGGAAAAGCAACTAAGCCATTAGGATATGTTATAACAACCTTCCACTGATTCCCCTTTCTTAGCAGAAGAATCTTTGCTCGAAATTGATACAATACTTCCTCCCAATCTCTGCATCGCGGCTGTAAATGAACTAGATGTCCTGGTACTGACTTCATAAAACATCAAAGCCATGACCTTATTCTAATTAAGCGGTGATAGCATTGTTACTTATATCACTAAGATAAGGAATAAGTATCTCATAACGACATACCGCCAATACATTTATCTTTCCATATTTCTCTGTAGCGACTTTCATTTCATGTGCAAGGTTAAATAAGGTATGTAGCTACAGGATAAATAACATAAACCTTAAATGTTTTGATGTGCTAGCGAATAAATTAAGGTCTTAAGCAATACTTGTATAGTCCTTACATTTTCACGCGTAAACATAGATACCGAAACTATACTATGACCGTAGAAATCCGAGTTTGATATAGAAACAGAACCAGAAAACGGCATTTCAGTATCACTGGGAAAGCTTGAAGCAGGTAAGTTAATCGGAAATTTTGACGGTGCGCTACTTGGCCCTATCGCTGAGTCCACATTGAAATCCTCTGAATGTTAAGGAATAAATGCGACAATGAGTTAATTACTCAGACATACTCGAAATAATATAGATATAGTAATTACCTGCACCATCAGTTAAACGATGGATTCGTTTCGGTATCCGATCAGATCGAACAGGCGACTGAGGACGGTGGTCACGATGTTGAAACCCAGGAGTTGGTTGTCGTTGAGCTTCCTTAAGATCTTTACCATAACCTGGGGCTGCTAAGACCTAACAATTTCCAATTAATAAAAATATCCATAATCAATAGTGTACTTTTATTGTACGCATAAATAATTACAACTTGCTATTGTACAGTTAAATTTTTTAATCTTACTTTTCCATCAATATATGCAACTTCTCCACGAAGTACAACACGACGGATGACACCTTTGGCTTGCATACCCGCAAAAGGTGTCCACTTTGACTTTGTCTGAGGCATTAACTGTGGAATAGTCCAAGATTCGTCTATATCAATTTCTATGTAGGTATCCTTTTGTTCAGGTAAATTAAATATTTTCATTGGATTTGTATATAATCTTTCCACGATATCCTAGAATGCAGGATAATGTTTTGCAATTAATATGATGCATCAGAACCATCAGCAATATGAAAAATAGTAACACTCTAATATCATATCCAAACAAACCTCAACCGTTAACCTGCCTTGGTGTACAGCATTTAAAAGCAAAGGTAACATTGTTTCTAAACCAGGAAAGCCAGGTGGTCCATTTTCTGAGTCTTTCTCTTCGATTGTATGGGGAGCTAACAATGTGGTTAACAGCAATTTAAATTTTAAAATTGATCACTTCTATTACAGGTGAGCACAATAGGCCTAGCGCTAAATATTTTCGAACATATTCAAGTATAATAAAAGTAATAACATTTATTACCGTGATCGGTGGCGAAACAGTCAATAATATCAAAATTATCCCATAATGCCTGTTGATCATCCTTAGAGCACAGTTGGGGCTTGACCTTCGATCGTTTTAGCCCTATGCGCTCTGCATCATCTTCTGTAAGAAACAAATGATGAGGAGCGACTTCACACGTGACGTTCATACCACGTTCTTTACAAGCTTTGATAACAAGAATCTAAAGAAAATTGAAAGAAATGATTGAAGGTAATAACTGAAAGCCTTTTCCACATCAAAGACAAGTGTCATTTCAAAAGTCTTGAGTAAATTTTAGTAACAACTGGTACCTCTTCCTTCCGTGCAACATGGGCAATATGAACAGGACGATTATATATTTGGGCTAAAAGTAGTACTGCAGCGGTTGTTCGAGCTTCAGCATGTGCTACAATCGGCAAATGTGTTGGCCAATTTTCGAAATGCTTTTGAAATAACAGAAAGCCATTTTAATGACAAAGTCTACCTAACGCAACCAAAATGCTGTCATTCAATAGCGATCCAATAAATAGAATACTAACCTTCATCCAATCAGCAACAGAGTCCAATCTCAAAGATGTATACGTGTCATTTAAATACATTTTTAATCCAACAGCGGCGTCACCAACTTCCGGTAATATTTCAGCATTGGTTGTACTTCCACCAACGTATAGAGCATAATCACATCTTGCACTTTGCTGAGCAAGCTAATTATAACAAATTATAATCTGATGATACCAACATCATATCTCCATGGCATGCCAACATAAACATCTGCTTACTAAGATAAAATCAACCTTACCTTTTTCGTATACTCAAAAGAATCAATATCGATTACAGGTGGATTTGTATTTGGCATCGCACAAATGGCAGTAATACCGCCAGCAAGTGCTGCAGCAGTAGCAGTTTTAAAGTCTTCTTTATGTGTAGCTCCAGGCTCTCTTACGTGGACATGAACATCGATAAGACCAGGTAATCGAAGACAACGATGGGATGTAATACAGTCAATGTTGGTTTTGATAGAAGGAGCTCCACCAATACGATATAGTGACTAAAGCAACAATAATAAGTTAGCGTTTTATTCGCTGTCTAGTTATAAATTTCACTTTCTAGACGATCAGTCCATCGATACACACCTCAATTAACAGCTTTGCACATTTTATGTCCGTAATTAAAGGAATAGAATAGTCTACCGCTAAGCGGCGTGTACGATAGCCGAGGGTATTAAAAGAAGACACTCTTCGGCTGCCACCAGATCTCATTGGTAGATTAATGACCATATCGAATTTATTTTGCGCTAAGTACTTCCCGAGACTGCTAGAGTCTTCACTACCCAAATCATCAAAACGCCACTCAACAACTTCCATCTATCAATAAGATTAACAAAGATATTATTATTTTTCCTAAAAAAATGATTAAACTGCTTTTTATACTTACAGTAATATTATGTTGCGCATAAAAATCTTGAGTACCAAGGGTGCCATATAATTTATATCCCAACGATTCCAAAATTTGGAGGCTACGAAGCATTTCTAATTTGGACTATACAAATGCATAGTTATTAATATCATCTAAAGTACTCATTTTGCGAAGACAATCAGTGGTACCTTATAACTTCCGATAGAGATTAGTACAGTCTTCCTAGGAATCTTAAATCCTGTACTAATCATCGCCTTAAGGTAGGCTTCATATCGATCTTCACCAAAACATGCAACCTCTCCAGTACTAGCCATTTCAACACCTAGCATCACATCAGATCCAGCTAAGCGCGAAAATGAGAATTGAGGAACCTAGTGAATAAATATAAAAACCAATTTTTTTCATTTGATGTTTAACAGTATGTAATAGGTTTTAAGAGCGTTATACATATACTTATGTTAACATTTTTTACCTTGACTCCGATACGATCACATACTTGATAGCCAACAAACTCTTCAATAGGTATTCCCATCATTACCTTTGTAGCAATAGCCACAAAATTATGCCCGACAGTTTTGGAAACAAAAGGAAAGGATCTAGATACCCGTAGATTACATTCTATCACCCTCAATTGATTATCCTGAAAATAACAAATGTACACACTTCAAGTCATTGTCTTATATATATCAATTGTCGCATAGAGACAGTCTTTTAAGTAGCGTAAAGTAATAATTCACGAAATGCATACTTTCGCGATCAGCTGTAAATTAAATGGGCCAGTAACATTTAAGGCTGATCCAATAGCTTTCGTAATGTTTTCGATCTTCATTAAAGTTTCGTCGTTTAAGTCTTGAGGTGGTAGTACTAAGGTAGCATCTCCTGAATGAATGCCAGCATTTTCGATATGTTCAGATACAGCCAAAGCAACAATTGTCCCTTCTAGTGCGACAGCATCGACATCAATTTCCTGAGGCAATGCAAAGAAAATACTATAAATCTCTAATAAAAATCCAATATTTATAAATTTATAATTTTAAGAATATTCTTACCTTTGCTTCCGTTATAAATTTAGATATTACTACAGGATGATCTCTTGATACTGCGACCGCACTATGCAAATACGTCTCTAGCTCTTCGCGAGAGCTTGCTACATTCATTGCTGCACCACTTAAGACATATGATGGACGAACCAAACACGGATAACCAACTTCGTCGCAGAATTTCTCGGCGCTCTATTTAGAAATAAATTATAAAATAGTATTAATACCGTCTTAAAATCCGAGAAATTAATGACATTAAATTTAAGTACGTACTTCCATATTCGTAAGATTTTTCCATAGTGGCTGCTTGATCTTGATGACATCAAGCAATCGAGAAAATTTATAACGATTTTCAGCATTGTCAATCTGCTCTGGGGATGTTCCCAAGATTTTGACCTAATTAAGATAGCCAGTACGAAAATCAAAGGTAGAGTGCAGCACCGTCAATTATACAAGAACCTACTTTCGGAAAATTAACATTGACAAGGAAGCGATGTATACCTGCTGCCTATGAAGTGGCATTGCGATATTGTTAGGCAACTGACCACCCATCGATAGTATGACTCCTTCCGGTTGTTCCATTTCGTAAATGTCCATAACGGTCTACCGGTAAAGAACATGCGCCGAAACAAAATAAGATTATAACCACTACAAGTTTGCATGGAGTATGCATTAAATACTTTAGGTATCAAATCGACTTACCTCAAACGAAATTTCGTCAAAATACAATTTATCACATTCGTCATAGTCCGTACTAACAGTTTCAGGATTATAATTTACCATTATTGTCTTTTTACCCAGCTAATACAACATAGAATATCAAGTACATCATTGTTGGTTATCTATAAATCATTCGCTTTAAAAGAGTTCGTAATTTCAAAAAAAAAGTTAACAGATAATATACCTTACGAAGTTGCCTAATACAGTTAACTGCGCACCAATCAAACTCTACACTACTTCCAATTCTGTAGACACCAGATCCCAAAACCAGAACATGTTTCAAATTCTGGAATTTAACATCATGCGATGAACCATTATAAGTTAAATAGAGGTAATTGGTGCATGCTGGGTACTCTGCAGCTACGGTGTCAACTTGTTTAACAAATGGGTGAATTCCAAGATCAATTCTCTTATATCGGACAGCTAGTTCAGTGCTACAAAGAAAAAAAAATGAATCCTAAGTCAGTTGGCAACCATTACCTAGCTACTAAGATTAAATTATAATTAATCAAACCTTTCTAAATATTTTGCTATCTGTTTATCACAAAATCCTAATTTCTTCGCATGTGACAGAGTAGATTTCTGAATTTCTTGTAGCTAAAAGGGATAAATATGTTATGAATCGTACTGTTCACAGTGAAATCAATTAAGGTAGTTCTAGACAATTCTGGCTACCTTTCCCTTATACTTGGACATCTTGACCATAAATTCACTTATTGCTTTCATTCTATGTAAAAACCATGGATCAATTTTGGTTAATTTGTGTAATCGGTCAATAGTATAATTATTCCTCAACGCAGATGCAATTTCATAGATCCGCTTATTCGATGGAAACATTAATTCCTAATATGAAAAGGAGAATTATATAAGCTATTTTTTCAACAAATCTGATACTAGTTTATCAATTTAACCTCTTCGTTAACATCAGTAGATTCAGGTTCAAAGCCCAAGCAGTGGTCGTCTACCATTCTTAATGCCTTCTGTAGAGCTTCCTCAAATTTTCTACCAATTGCCATTACTTCTCCTACGCTTTTCATAGAGCTACCAATCTGTTAATTAAATCCAATGCGATTTAAGGAAATTCGTGTAACTAAATTTAACACATTTAATTCTTAGATGATTGTAGACAACTATACCTTTGTATCAACACGTGCAAATTTAGATAAATCCCATCTAGGTATCTTAACAACTACGTAATCAAGGCTTGGTTCAAAACAGGCTGTTGTAGAATTTGTTACCGAATTACGTAGTGCAGCTAGGCTGAATCCAAGCGAAAGCTTAGCAGCAATATAAGCGAGAGGATATCCTATACAAACAATGAAATAAATAATTTCTACCATGCCAATAATAACTACACTACATGGAACTTACCCGTTGCTTTTGATGCCAATGCAGAACTACGGGATAATCTTGCGTTAACTTCGACAATACAATACTATATACCGTTCATAGTAAAAAAATCCAGTCATTACATTAATAAAAAGATATTATAGTAATCGGCAATAGAATAATCAGCAATATCAAGCAAATTTTGCTTTTCTTACCTTATCGCTAGCTGGATCAACAGCATATTGAATGTTACATTCTCCAATAACTCCAAGGTGTCTGATAGTCTTAATGGCTACAGATCGTAACCGATTATATTCTTCATTGGTCAGTGTTTGACTAGGAGCAACAACAATAGATTCACCAGTGTGTATACCCAAAGGATCAACATTTTCCATATTACAAACCTATATAAACACAAATACACATAAAGAGTATCATTCCAGTTATCTCATTTACAAACTTTAGAATTTTACTGTTTAAATCATAATCATAACAAATCATTAATTTGAAGGTACCGTAATACAATTATCATAAGCATCTCGAACAACTTCGTATTCAATTTCTTTCCATCCGCGTAACGATTTATCAATTAATAATTGTTTCGTATGAGCAAAAGCTGATTTTGCAACTGAAATCATTTCTTGCTTATTTTCAGCAAATCCTGAACCAAGACCGCCAAGGGCAAATGCTGCACGAACTAGCACAGGATAGCCGAGTGCTTCAGCCGCATTTATCGCCTTTATAATTTAATAAGTTAGCGATAAAATAAGTATTCAATAAACGTACGCACTGCTCAATGAAATAATAAATTGATATAAATCAAACCTCGTCGACAGTATAGGCAACTTTACTAGGAGCAATAGATTCATTAATCTCTTCCAGTTTCTTAGCAAATTTTAGTCTATCTTCAGTACAGATAATTGACTGTATCGATGTTCCGAGAACTTGAATATTATATTGATCTAAGACACCGCTCTCCTTTAAAGCGACACCACAATTTAACGCTGTCTGCCCTCCAAATGATAGCAGGATCCCATCAGGACGTTCACTCTTAATAATCTACCATTTTTATTGAATATAATCGATATGTTATTGATTTAAGTAATAATTAACTATATATATCATTACTCTTATGGTACTGAGTTTTGGCTAATTTTGAAAGGTTACCTGAGATACATATGAAGGAGTAATTGGTAAGAAGTAAACTTTGTCAGCTAATCCTTTCGATGTCTGAACCGTGGCAATATTCGGATTTACAAGTATTGTGTATATACCTTCTTCTTTCAGAGCCTTAATAGCCTAAATTAATCAATATTGCACATGTACGTATTATTACAAACATTTGTAACAGCATGTAAAGCAAGCGTATTACCAAGAAACATTACCTGAGAACCTGAATAATCGAATTCGCCAGCTTGTCCGATAGACAAGCCCCCAGATCCAAGTAAAAGAACCTTTTTTGCATTTGTTTGAGCCTTGCCACATGCCTGATTAGTTAGGAAGCGATTATGTAGGCGAATTTTTGGCGATAGTTTACTGCAACAATGGGTAGAAAAATATTTAATTCTTCCATTATAGTAGATAATATACACTATCTATCTATTAAATCGATATAAAAAATGTACCTATAATCTTTTCCTGATTTATGGTCACGTACTATCGATAGAAATTCATCAAATAACTGCTCTAAATCTTGCGGCCCTCCTCTGTGCTCAGGGTGAAATTGAACAGAAAAAAAAGGAAATCGATCGTGTACAATACCCTCGTTGGTATCATCATTCGCATTAGTAAAGAGGACCGACCAATCTTTCAAAGATTGCACTTTATCAACAGCGTATCCATGATTTTGAGTTGTGATAAAACAACGACCAGTTTCGTGGTGAATACATGGTTGGTTATGACCACGATTGCCATATCTAAAATATGATAAGAGATCAAAAATTTTTTATTGCTTAAGTATTGCATCACAGTAAAGTTATAAAAGTAGAATTAACTTTAAATGTGTACCGCATTTTTATAATTTTACCACCAACAGCTAGGGACATTAACTGATGACCAAGGCAAATTCCAAAGACAGGTTTAGGTGAGGTTTCATTCAGAATTCGTTGAACATTGGATATCGTTGCCTGGTATCTCACTGGATCGCCAGGACCATTGCTTAAAAACAAACCATCATATTCTACATGTTGCGAATAGAAGTGCACAAAATCGTTTATTATAGTACTGTATATCTATCTACAATTAATAAAATACAATCTAGAAATTTTAAATAAAGTTTTTGCTACAATAAGATATTAACCAGAACTGTCAAGGTAATAATTCCACGGCACTACTTTAACACGAGCTCCTCTAGTCACAAGGCAGCGGATCTGGTTATATTTGATACCACAATCGACAGCGACAATGCTTACATCTCCGTCAGGATTGTATATTTTAGGTTCCTAGAAAATAGTAGTGTATCAGCAAGGGCATCTTTAATCGCAATGAAATAAAGATCAAGCCTAACAATGAAGGGTAATTCTTAAAAGTGATTATAGTTCAATGAAAAGAACAGCTAAGGTATACATTTCGCAATCTTGTTACCTTTACAGATACAATTTCCACTAGATTTTCACTGCCAATATCTATGAAAGGAACTTTACTTGAATCGTCGTCCTTAACGATTACCTGATAGCATTGTTAAACGTTAATCGTATAATAAAGTTTAAAGCAGTACACTATCACAACATTTTATCTCAATTTCAATAATCTTAGAATTATTTAGAAAAATTTTATATATCGAAATGGTATAAAATTATTTATAGTACTGTACAATTAGTCAATAAATGTTACAACCTTAGCTTTCATGCAACCTTTCTCACGAATCCTTTTAGTCAGTTCTCTAGTATCAATGTCTAATATCAATTGGAAGGGCAAATTATTTTATGAATTTAAATCTTTTTTATGACAGTAAACATAAAATACGCTTGCCATATTGCTACTATTTCGAATTACATTTTATCAAGTATAAGAATTACGACAAAAATGTTGCGAAACGTGATACAATATGGTATATAAAGCAGTATACCAACCACATATTCCAGGGACATTATTTTCAGCTAACCAGTCAGACAAGGACTTGTTAGCATTCCAATGGCTAAATTCGTCGCAAAGATTATCGATGACAAGGGCGGCCACGTGAATCTTATTTGATTCTAGCCCTTTGATTATGCCAAACTCATCAAATTCCTCTTTAGGTACACCATAATTACCGATTAAGGGATATGTTAAAACCAAAATTTGTTTACAGTACGAAGGATCGGTTAATGATTCCGGATATCCGACCATGCCAGTTTGGAATACTAACAATCATAGTAGAGAATCATAATTGCAGAAACATGTGATAGAATTAGAAAGCAGGTGATAATCTAGTGTAGCAACATTACGTAATCAGTTTGATGGCATAACTGTACTAGCCCCAACAAACAGACAACTGGAAACTATTTTACTGTTAGGCATGAATTCTCAGATAGTGTAATACGTATATGTAAATTATGATTTCCATTGCATACATTAGGCTCGAAAAGATTCAACTTGCAATGTCAACTTAGTTATAACAACAATACGCTGTGAGTGTTATACTGAACAATCTAGCATAGATTACACTTGTATCGTATATTTATTTGCCTTTTTGGTAATAATTTGGTTTGATCAAAACTATACAGTGCTCGTGTAATCCTGGAGTAGAGTACACAATAGTACCTCCCACGTTTAAATACATTATACTGCATAGGGCAAATGTAAGCAATGTGTGGGCCGTGAGCAACTACGTAGGTAATTATTGGGTGTGTATCTTCCATTGGTAAGACGTTAATTAATTCAGCCATTGATATCTTCTAGTTATAAATTCAAAATGATGTAACTCTCGATTTTACAGCAAGAGTTTCTTATTCATTAACAACGAGGACAGAAAAATGTCTATTGTAGAACAATTTTGTTTACTGCGGCACGCAGGTACATGCATGCAATACTTATACAGTACAACGGCTCCAGTAAAAAGCAGTGCTTAAAAGTAGGCCTATCACTTTGCATTACTTTGTGAATTTGGCGAGCATAATTTAAACGTTTGCGGAGTTCATTCAATAAATAAGCTACGTTCAGTACAGTACTATAAGTATTCAATTTATTATAGTGGTTTCCTGAATAACGATTCAAGTTATATCAACGCTGTTCACTTTGCAGTTTGCACCGATAAGTGATACAGTCAGGACAAAGTTTATATTAATAACTTGAAAATAAATTCTATCAACCATCATGGAGTAGCATACCAGTTGTAAGTGAATCTGTTGCAAAATTGCTAAGGCTATAGTGAACAGAAAGCTCAATAGACTTTTTAACACAAGTACTGCATATAACAGTACGGGTATGAGATGACTGGGTATCGTAATATATACCATCATTTCCATCTTGATTAACTGAATCAGTATATTCAATTATCCTAACATTATGTAACCTGAATCATTTCATTGGCATCGTGTGTAGACGTAAAATGAAGCGCGTACTGAGCATTTCAACGTCAAGGATAAGGTCCTTTACTGTACATAATTTGATATCATTTTTACTGGAATTGCTAGAATTGCAGGTGATGTAGATAGAGATGATGTAATCTGGCAATACAAGTGGATATGATGACTAAGTAAGCTATGTATGTGACTGTCTCTTTTAAAGTACTTGACTACGGATCACATTAGAAGTACTGTGTGACAAGACTAATCCAAGCAGAGCCCTTGCAAAATGAATTACTTTTGCAAGTAAAGCGTTTTACGCGTATTCTAACACTGTGTCTTTAATCTTCTGTAGAAAGCTATCTATTAAGTCCAATTACCGTACAACTCATTCCAATCATTACAGTATGTGCCTATCAATAGCTAAACAGGTACTCCTTTCGATGCCATTAGCCTATCTATTTACATGCAATGTCAATGAAGCTAGGTTAGCCTATATAGCAGGCAACGACTGCATGCAAACATGAATGCTATGATGATGATCGTTTAAACCCATACCTCTACCAGATCTCATCGAACTCGTGTACACCCGAAACATGATCACAAGCATCGTTCTCACGTATCAAATTTAATACCAGAAGCAATAAGTTGGCTGGTGGAGATTACTAACTGCACTTGTGTTATTTTTTCTCCTTGCTAATTGCTACTTCGATGACTGCGTTGATGGAACGTTAACATCCCATCACGCAGCATGTTGTCACTTTGTCTGCTACATTATGCTGTCATTATTTATTTTTCTTCTTTGAATTGGCCAAAAAGAGATCAAGCTCTAACTTACCAATTTCACCAGTAACACTGATTGGTGCACCAAAAAGTGTTCCCGTCATTTGATAGCCATCTTCTAGTTGAAGTACGGCCGACATTTTCATTCGCTCAATACCTTCTCGCCACTAGCCACCCGCTATCTAATCCGAAGTCAGTTTATTATTATTATTATCCACTGATAACGATGCCGCTGAGTGAAGTCAATGGTCGTATGAATGGAATTGGATGAATTCAGTCTATTCGAGTCAGCTTTCAACGTCAAATGTTCTATCCCACGTTCCAATGGTAATTATCCCTTTTGCTCCTTCCTCCTAACCATCCAATGGATATAGTGATGCACAAGACCTTGTGTAACGGATAATTGCACACTTTCCACGTGTGCTGGATTCAAAGTCGGGAACTTTTCAAGAGTCCACTTTTCAATCGTCCGTCTTCGCGCATTTTTCGAGAATAATAGCGATCTATATTAAGAAGTAGGAAACAGGCCCACCAGTCTGAGTCAATGCTCACCAGCTACGGACGTATAGTACGTACGGTACGTTTGTATTGTACTGTACTGGACTGAATCGGTATAAAAGGCTAAAGGCAATACAATAGGTACAGTAGTACAGTTCAGATAGTCATAAATTAGCCTACAGTATAACGCCTGACTAGACTACAGTACGACTGAGCTACTGTACGAATAGAGTTGTTTATTGAAGTTCTCCATAATGGCGATGATGGTGTATACTGTACTGTACATACTAAATTGGTCTAATTTAGTCGTGACATTACGTTTTCATATCATTTCAATCGTCGTCGATTTTTTATGAGACACCCTGTATATTACATATATATATACTGTATTTTGATACTGCCAATTAATGAATGAATTCTGCTTTTCAGTAGGGATTGCTAGGGAATGATGAAGGATTATAACACATCCTTTTTGTTATGTAGTCAGTGGCATACTGTACGTATAGGTTAGAATCCCTTTTCTGAACAACGCTACAGTATAAGATGCGATTGAAGTCGTGCTGTGTCCTATTTTGGTTCCTGATGACTGATCAGTGGTGACAGTACAACAATATTTGATCATAACAAGGTTAAGTAGAGTGACTCATATGTGTACAGGATTCCTCCACACTTTAGCAAAGATGGCTTATGCCAACTTGAACACCATAGCAATTCACACTTTAAAATAAGTAACTTGATTATTAATTATTAATAATGCTAGAAAGTCTCACCTATTCTAAACTTTGACTGGCACAGTAATCATCATTATTCATTTTATGATTGTCCGTGCATTATATTCAGTTACTGTAGACCATTTTCTCGCCATCAACGTGTATGATACCGTTTCCTTTATACTCTCGACTTCGACCAACACCAACGATGACTGATAGATAGAAGGTGATTGCGATTAGACTAACAGTGAATAAATAAATTTGAAAAAATTTTTATCACCAGCCGAGGTGCAAACGAGTTCATTGTACCTTGTACAGTAACGGGAAGGCTTCTACTGTCCTGTACGAATAATATGTTAATGTACATATACAGTACAGTATATAGACGCGTACAGCGTTAGATCGCATTGATTGCTTTAATAACGACTATAACTGTAATATACTGTATAGCATTATGGAAATGAGTTGATTAAATCACGCTCAATGAGTAAATCACAATCCAATGAGCCCAATTCCATGTGCCTTTCTGCTGATAGACTCTCTCTTCAAACTAATAGAATTTATCACGCTGGCAAATTTGGCACCCACCCTGTTAACACTTAAAGAGGCCGATATTTCAAATGATCCCAGTTCCATGTGCCTTTTAACTGATTTACTCTATCTTCAAACTAATAGAATTTATCACACTGGCAAATTTGGCACCTTCCCTGTTTAAAATATCGACCACCACAAGTGTTAATAGGGCATGTTTAACTTGTGGCAGTCGATATTTTAAATGAGCTCTTGAAATTCTCAAGGCTGGCACTTTCACATTTTCAATGCGTAATTCCAGTAGCTAGGTATGACGTATATCACCAATATACTGTACTGTACGTATGTATACACTGGTGCTAGACTGCAAGTGGTGGTTGATCAAGTGTGATATTCTCTTTCAAAGGAATAACCGCTACTGCATGCAACCGTAACTCATTACTATCTAATTCATTAATTTAGATTTATTTATTTATTTGCAATTAGAGTAAATTGATGCAGAGGCAATAAGCGACAGGAATTGCATATCTTACTTTCCTGGCTTGAACTACAGTAGGTAGATTACGTACACCGTCAGTATGGAGTGGGTATGGTGGTTTCAGCGCTTAATACTCGCACAGTATGCACATTGTACAGTCAGTACTGCTCTACTGTACTCGCACCATACTCGTACAGTACTAGACACTGTCCACAGTGTCCACCTGCCGATGGTTTGTACTGTAGTGCACAGTGGGTAATACTGTAGTTCATGCTGTGTTATTAATCGACCATCGTTTCCAAAACGTGTCTAGTTCTACTATAGCTGTAGTTTGTAGTTGGTAATTAGAACATTGCAGAATCACACGTAATGGTGTTCTACTATCAAAGCACAGGTGAGAGATATTGCATTGCGAGAGAGCGCACTTCAAATAAACGTTTAGCGCCATCTTCCATTATAATTATTAGAGCATCTCGTTGTCTTGCAGATTGATTGAAAGGACACCATGCAATTGACCTATAATTAGAATATTAAAACATACATTCCAATTGCTCTTAATGCCCTTACTATTACAGTACAGGCTCAACCAGGTGATCATAGTGACATACTGTACAGTAGATTAACAATGATATTTTATAACGTTAAAATATCCCTTTCTAGTAACATCATTGAAGTAGTGATTCCCATGGTAGAAGTAAGGTTTACAGTTTGCAAGAACTCTATTGATCATCAGGTTGATCGCTATTGGTTGATTCTGTGATAGTACCATACAGAAATTGAGCAACTTCAAAATGGACCCTTTTAATATTAGCAATGTTCTATGTACACTTAATAATACTGACTATATTAGTAGAAAAATCGACGTGAAAATGATCCATTCGCACAGGAAGATGATCGTACTGTAGGCCCTGGATGCCGCATTAAAGTAAAAATTAATTTTGGAAGTACTGAAATTATAACTAAGATACTATAACTTCTCATGTTATACACTCAACATCATCAATTAACAGTGCACGCCTTTAATCTACTGTATTGAAAATTGTAATATTGAAAAGGAAATAGTTAATAATTATAGGCATATCTACTGTCACGAAAGATTGGAGTTTACACAATAATTTATCAATTATAATCGTTCGTTTTTAATAATGTACTAACTATATATTAATAACAACTGTGATGATTAGCAATAGATCCATCGTGTACCATTTACGTTGGAAGAGATAAATATGAAAGTAAGTTTGATGCTCACCAATCCTCTGATTTTAATGAACTAAATGGTAGTCTAGCACATCCATGTCATAGAGCAATGATTTCTTTATGTTGTTCGTATACTTTACGTAACCTTATTGAAAGAGTTCTGTATTACGTGTATACTTATGAATTTTGAGCTTATAGCATGTATAGTAAACAGCTTATATATAATGATTAATACTGAAACTCTCATACGTGTTTTAGGCTTCTTTTACATCATTGTAATGTTGCTGTTTCTAACAAGAATGCAACATTGCTAGCGACCAGCTACAGTGTTTACAGTAGTTGTAACATCGCAAAACGTCAGCAGCCTCATCTAGTACAGTTTATGTCATTCAAAAAGTTATTCATAATATTTTATATGCTTACTGTATTAGCTCTTTTCTTCAAGCATAGCTTGAAAACCCTATCACACAATTGATATTGCAGCTAATTAGACTTGTTATCACAGTGTGCGATAATAACCTCCCTTACTATTATACGTTGCTTTTCAAACTATAGATGAAGAATTATTAAAGTATGCTTTTGCGGAAGATGTATGGTAGGGGTTTGGCTTAATTAATCTTTTAATTATCGCATAATATCTATTGACTTTTAATGCATGTAATTATGCAATAAAAAGTTTTACTAGGACTTAATTTGAATTATTGCATCTGGTGAAGTTATAGAATCGATTTCTGTATACGACTCTGATTAGGTTTCACGTTGATAAATTGTCTTCTGCACATGTATACTTGAGGATGCCTAAAGTAAGTACAACACTTTCTGCTAAAGTATAATAAAGTAAATGATTTTTACTATATTAGAAGACATATGTAGATAGATAAGATGTTACAAAGCGATTGCATGTATCAAAACCCCAATTTTAACTTATCCGTTCTTTATTATTAAATACTTGTATATTAGGAGAAAATTTAAACCAATACACTAGAGATTTTTGTATTGTTGTAGTCAATACTTTATTTATTTAATGCTGCCAGAATATTTTATAACCCAAAGACAATCCTATTCGTTCTACAGTTAGTTTTTTATTCACTACGCTCATGCAGCTGTATTATACTACGCCACATAACGCCAATTTATCTATACACACCACTGCTGTACTTTGTAACATTTACTGAAATATAGTAAATTACCAACTCTAAGTAGCTCACTTGGTCAATGACTTAATGTAGGACATGTCAATCGATTCAATTCCAACCGCTTTGTTACATGACTGTGCACAGTTGGTCAAAGCAAACAGTATACAAGGTAATATTGGCAAGGTTACGTTTGCGCTACGATCTTACAATTTACTGCAAATCCAGAGATCTTCAAACAAGATATGTTTATGCGTTTTAATGTTGGCTTTTGTAGGTTGCAAACTAAACAATGTCAAAGTGGTTTACACACCAGCAAGTAACATTAAAAAAACCGCCGATATGGAAGTTGGCCAAGTCGGGTTCCATAAAAGTAAAGAGGTATGGGTCTTTATTTGAAGGGTTAATCATCGCTGTTACTGTTTGATTACTTGATACAGTATCCATAATTTATAAATGTAAATAAGGAAAAAACCATACTAATGAGATACGCGTATATATGTATTATAATCATACACTGACACTTGAAAGATAAAATAACTTGTCTTTACGCATAAACTGCTTTCACAAGGCTCTCACAGTCTTGATTGATTACCCAGGTTCGACTAACTACCGTGGATAAAAAAGATAATGCAATTATAAATAGATTAAATAAAACAAAATTGGAAAAATACCCTGATTTAGCCGGCGAACTTCTACAGCGAGAGAAGGAGGAACGTGAGGAAAGGAAGCAATTACTAAAGGAGCAGGTTTGTGACTTTTAATGACATTTTCGTGTGTGTTCATGTGGCAAATATGCTATACTATGATTTCATAATAAAAATTAACGAATTTCGCTCTAGAGCAAAATACAAAAAGAAGAAATACTAAAGAGACAGCAGGAACAAGAAATAAGGTAATTGTCCTTGCTTGTCGTTCAATTGAATGTACAGCTTGAAAATGGTCGGCATGCCTTACCTCTATGATTTTATGTGCCAGAGTATTCTAATCGTATGTCAGGCCCTATCTAATCAATGTTGTACTCTGCCGTCTTTGCATAAGTCTGTATTTATTTAGCTGATTCCGATATAATATTTCAATCGCTTAGATCGTATAGTAGCTTGATGAAAACGGAAAATATGACAACTAATGCCGTAAGTTGAAATAAACTATACGTAAATTATATCATCGATAGCCAATATTCTAATATAGTATGTGTATTGCGCTACTAAGTTATCGGATCCGCCTTCGCTAAGCAATTTCATTCAAATTATATTTCAGGAGGCAGAAGATGACGACGATTTTATGTAATCGAGATATCACCTATCTCCATATTTAACTCTACGCTAAAACAATTTGAAAGAGCTGACGAGAAATAGTAGTAAATTTACGTAATTACTAACGTTGCGGAGGTCAGATACCGTCCTGCAGTGTCTTAACCGGACAAAGAAAACATACTTGATAAAATAATTTTAATATCGATCCATTTATTACTGGAAGCAGCAAAATTTCGACTCAATACAAAGATTACGTAAATAGTACTACTGTAAGTTTAATTTAATCATAACATAAAAATGTACATGTCCACACGTATTCATAGCATAATCGTAATACTGGAAGTCATAAAAGGGCAAAGTGTAATTTTAATACATAAAATAAAGCTTGAAAGACAAAAATTAATCCGAATAAAGTTCATACATTAATTTGTACAAAACATTGTTATAGTTATAGTTTCACATTGACCCAATCTTATTAGTTGGATTTCACGTACAAACGATATACGGTGCAAGTTATGATATACGTAATAATTCAACAATGTTTTACTTACAGTTAGCATATAAATTAATTTTAGTGATTACGAGGAAGCACAACAACTTTAGTTGCAACGTTTCTAAAACATTGCTACTTGGATGACATGTCCTATACAGTACTTGTAAACTTTTAGTTTCTACAATTCAAATGGAGTTTAATATATATGAAACGTAAGCTAACTTTGTCAGTATCTTTCAATGAGTACAATAGTTGTACGGTACATCAGACAGCCTTTCTTTTGCAGGCCCTAAATGATAAGCGCGTCGCTAATGGGATACGATCCATTCCTTTAATTCGTGAACGAGTTTTGTGATTGCTTATCACTCTGCATGCAATGAACATTAGTACTTTAAAATATGGACAACAAATGATAATTTCAACTTCAAAGGCAATGAAACCAGATCATTTAAAAGGCTACAAAGGGGGCCTTTTACTGCATGACTAAAAGCACTTGCGCCACTAAATGGAAGTGGAAGTAAATACCATCAACTAAAAACAGCCCTACCAAGCCTAAGTCTACATTAATCTACAGTATGATATGCTTATGTACAAATGGGTGCTATCAAACACTTAAAAATGCATACTTCTACTGTACTGTACCCAGGGTTTTAATGACTACGATAAAAAGTATCAAAGGTACTATTTATACAAAATGTCTCGAAGCGTAGGATCAATAAACCGCCACAGACATATATTAGTTAAACGGGGCCATAGACATCAACAGTCTTAATCACCGCTTCCTTTTAATCCCTGGTGACGAGGGTTGAGGAGTAGAAGCCTTAGCTCTCTTTCGTGCTGGTGAACTATCTATAAAGAAATAAGACAACGTTTACTGCTCATCTAATATGTGTTAAGCTGTGACATATATTTTTCTAAAGAAATGAAACGAACTTTTTCTACTTAAGCCTATTGTTGTATAGGAAATTACTTTCTAGCTAATATGAGTGGGCAGACAATGATAATAAGCTTATACACTTACCGTCATCGACAATAGGAAGAGCACTCTCTGAGATGTAATCTTCCGGGAGTGAAAAGTCAACTTCTTCAGTTGGCATGGAATAAATCTCCATTTCATCCTAAACAATTGCATATCAAAAGTACTTATAATAAAGTTTATATACACTCTGCTCTATAAGAGCCATACTTAGTATAACGAACACGTTCTACGGAGTACAGATATCGTAACAGTCATGGTAATTTTATGCTAATGACGTTGCTACCGCAGGAGATATTATTACAAGTACATTGCTACTCGATATTAATTAAAGTATAATGTTAAGTAATAAGACCAAAGCTCTAGCAATATTTACAGTTGTAAGCTTGTTACTACTTATAAGATCGATAGTAATTATCCTTGTCAATAAATGTTCCACTTTTCAATATCTTGCAAACGATCACGATTTCTATGCAGTACCAAACGGAAAATAATTGTATCATAAGTTCATACTTACCAATGCTGCAAGATCATACAGAGTATTCAAATGATCCCATACAGACTTCACAGATAAGTTTTCTCCTGTTAATTCTTGAAGGCGTTGATGAATAAAAGCCATTTGAAAATGTTTATGAACTCCTACAAAGTGGTATTATTTATTTACAGTTTAGTAATGTAGCTCCTTGGATTAATTGTAATGCAGGTCTGCCCAGACATAACCAGATATTGAAAATAATAATAATAATATAATAGCACCATTTAGAAGATTTTAAGAATGAAGTCCTGCTCGCAATCATTTGTAAACAAGGCCATACTGCCCATGTAGCAGTACACAATCAGTGTAATCTATGGTGGAATTTTCACCGAATAGTAAGTCTTACAAATACCGTTAGAAGATAGAATTTAAAGTAAAAGCCTTCACTTGGGTCAGACACTTGCACATTAAGTTTTGTATTTTGAAGGCACCTTTTACACTATACGCGGGCTGTATCATGAATATAATTTACTATAGATTCATTCTAAATTGAGATGTGTTGAACATACAGTCTGATGCAGACTACATCGAAGTATATCACGTACTTGCCATAAATTAAGACTAGAAAGAGGTCAAAGTTAACGATGACGATAATACTGTAAGGACTCTGCAGTGCTCTTATTTAGAGCTCGAGGAAATTATGTCTTAGATTTTATTGTACTGTACTATACTAATGGCAATGTCTATTGAAGGTATAGCAACTCATGGGGGTGGAAATACTGCACACAAGCCCAAGTCCTAGAGAAAGTGACTGCATACTATCTATGATCATTTGAATATCGACACTAAATTATGGTTAACAGCAGCATTCCGGCGAGCCTTGGAACAGTGAAGTGCATTAGACAGTAATGGAAACGTTCAGCCTCTACGTTCAGGGAAACATTCATCAATTTACTGTCCCGTACAGTATCCTCAGCGTGTTGTACAGTACAATAACTGTACATGCCAATTTCGGAAGTTCAAAGGCCTTGCCTTTTTTTTAACTTGTTAATATACGATAATGCCATTGCATTAGCTTTCGAATGTTGGAAATTCGAGCTCTAAAAACTCGCTTACCTACTGGCTTGTGTCCTTTCATTGCTCTAAAGAGTTTAACTTCCATATCTGCTGTCCACGTTGCCTCGGTGGCCATGGTTGAACCAGCCAGCAATCACCGAGCAAATTTGTGCGTTGAGCCCACAACTTGTCAAGAGAGAATTTCTCTCCGACTGTCCAAGTCGCTGAGCAAACTATACGTGAACGGTACATGAATGTACTGTAATACGAGAAAACTTTCTTTGCTGAATTTGCTAGAGTTACAGTACTGTGTTATGCTGTACATTGTACTGTACACTGTACTGTACAGTCGGAAGAGTTGGCATTTAGTTGTACTGTACTGTACGTATGGTACAGACGTACAGACTACAGATTTTGCAGCACAATTGTACAGTACTGTAATGTACGAGTTACAGTACAGTACAGTACAAATACAGTACAGTACAGTACAGTACAGTGTACAGTACTGTACAGTACTGTACAGTACAGTACTGTACTGTACTGTACAAGTCCCTGGTTACAGTACAGTACTGTACTGTACTAGTGTACTGTACGAGTGTACGTATGGTACAGACGTACAGACTACAGATTTTGCAGTACAGTACATTGTACAGTGTACACTGTATACTGTACAGTTGTACTGTACGAGTTAAAAATATTAACAGTCGGTAAAGCGTGGTACAGTATACTGTACAGTACTGTACTTTACACTGTACATAGTGTACTGTACATGCAGGATACTAGCAACAGAATTTATATAGAATTGTACCTACTGTCTGCGTACAGTGTACAAATAATCTAATACAAGGAATATTGTACTGTAACTGTACTGTACAGTACGGCCGTATGGACAACGCGGTGTTGCCACAATTTCATTCTTGCTCCATCTTGTTTTGGAAAGGAAAAGAGTAGAGCTACGTTTTGTTCAATAAAATGGTTCGTATCGTATTCTTAATGTAGGATGGATCAATTTAGGGATAGCTATAAGCACAGTATACGTATAGCATTAAATCCATTCTCAATGCTAGACCGTGAAATATTGTATCATCATCAAATCAAATAATCTTTTTTGAACATATTCTCAGAAACTGCTAAAACGCGTATTTCAATTAATTTAAATTATAGGGGGGTGGCGGAAAAAGATTCCCTTACCCACAGTACGTCTGGTCACCAGCTGGTGGATGGTGGTGCAATCCTCGTAATTGGAAGCGTAATACTGCTCTTGCTACTGTAGCTGTTATTGGTATCTGTATGCCTGCGTTCTATTTGTCGGCATCCCGTGAAGTAAGGACTGCAGTAATCGATGTTTAACTTAACATTAACATAGGGTTACGCTAGATCAGGACCTTTTTGCAGCTTAGTTTGATCTCATTTAAAGTAGTATTAGCAAGAAGTATTTTATTGTTTAGACTCTTAAATTATAACTATTGGGTTCAAGTTGAATAGACAGACCAATGATAGCTTTATACCGTATCCTGTGCTAATGGGATTGATCCTAGCCTAAATTATGTCTATCAAATTCGTCAATTATATTATATAATATTGATAGAATGTAATCTATGCGAGTAACAATTTCCTGAACAAGCGCAAACGTTGGAATATCAACCTTATTCATGACTTTTAATCCTTGACTTATTTACTTCATCCCAGCTACTGTAGTTATTCCAGTAATGTGACCACATACAACTGATGCCAGCACCGTACTATATCCCATGTATCACATGCAAACGTATAGTTTTAAGGTCCCAACTTTTAAATAAAAATTGCGCCCCTCTTAATATTTATTTCTACCACAATTTCCTACTTACATCAGCAATATCTGCATGTTATACGCGTATACAGTATTTGCCTTGCGATTCTACGTTTCCAGCATAAATGTTTACGATGCACTTACGGTACTGAATGCAATTGAATGATGATTAGATATGTGATAGAAAAGGTACTTTTTTAACCGTATCGAAGAATCCTGATTCATCATTTCTGGTGTGCATTATCAATAAGTACAGTGACGATATTGTATTCTTTGAAGTATTGAATGATATGTTTTTTACACCTTCAGCGAATGGTACAACAACCTTACAGGCACGTTTTGTCCCAGAAATTTGCAAGGCATGCTAAGGTAACAAATATTTGTTGTATGTCATAGACTATACATAAGGGAGCTCAATAAAATTTTTGCATTAACGTCTTAACTTTTTTATGGTTTTATTGCCTATTTTTACCATCAGGAAGACGATCCGAGCTTGCCAGATTCTCACAGAGTATTCAAATGGTAACTATTTTACGTTATGATTTTAAATGGCTACCTTGTTCGCTATAACAGCTGCCTACTTTCAAATTTGGAAAAGATTTCATCCTGCAATATCAAGAAGTTTTATTTTACATTTGCTTATACGTACTGTTAAATATAATGTGGTGAAATTTGCTGTGAAGTTCATGGGAGACCTTCAACGGTTCTTGAAACTTATTTCAAATTCGTCTTTGAAATTATGGCAATAGATTATATTCTTAAGTAACTTTTATTTCGTAACCTGATGGTTACACTTCATATGTACAATACATTTTATATATACGTATATATTTACAATAAATGGCTTTACACAAGGTCGCTGTCAATTCTCATTCATGTAAGTCACACACCTTACAAACGTAGTACAGCTCAGAATAGCTCAACACACAGACCACTGCAAGTACATAGGCTGTAAGCAACCAAAGATATATTCAAGATACGCATATATACAGTATCAATTTGCTGGCAAAATCTATTTATTTGAAAGACTTTCAATATTTAACATCACTTGTAAAAGTTGACTCTTTTTGGATTTAATATCTTCATCTAATCGTTGGAGTTCGGCTTCAATATCTGATGTACTCATTTCCGCTATATTGTTGTGTTTTCTTCGGTGCCTACTCTTATGGTGATGGCGGTGTTTTCTACGTTTTTTTTTATTTCTTCCACGTTCTATAAAAGAATACAATTGCAAATCAGTTAGTCTTTTTTAACTCTATTAAATGCACCAACTAAATGTATATTACTGTGATTGCAGCCAACCTTTTGAAGCCGATGGTGAGGAAACTCGTTGATCGAAACTGTTATTGCCTACAGTTTCTAATTGAGCTCTTCGATCGACGCTATGCCTTCCTGCCGATATCATTTGGCTACCAGAGTCGATAGATCTAGTAGTTTGATTTCTGAAATAAATAGGAAATGTATCAAGAAGTTTAGTGTAACAATTTTTCCTTTCATAGACTAATAACTATCGTATCTATTTACATATTGCACTGTACTACAATATAGTCCTATATAACAACTGAGTTGGTCCCAAGATTTACAAAGTTACCAGGCATAGCGGATATAAAAATTTAGCGGCAGGTAAAAGGCAGTTGTAACTATAACCACGAACTATTTATAATTTTAATAGTCCGTGCTAGAACTCATGCCTCGCATAACTAAATGATTATTAATCAGTCGATCCCTCGCTCGTTATACTTTGCGTGTATCACGAACTATTTATAATTTTAACAGTCCGTACTAGAACTCATGCCTCGCATAACTAAATGAGTAATAACCAGTCGATCCCTCGCTCGTTATACTTTGCGTGTACCAACTGTGTTACGTATACCTTTTACTAATTTATAAGTTATCACTGACTCACTACACGCTAAGCATATTTATTACTTCCATATCTATCCCATAGACCAGTCGCCAGATTTTCTAGAATGATGCGCATTATTTTTAAATAATATGAATTACATATCAGGTACGATCTCAATAAAATGTATTATACAAGTTATTAAGACTGTAGTATATGCAAAGGCTAAAATTGAGCTATCAGCAGTGGAAAGGGAAATTCTATTTTATCAACTAAGAGAGGCAGGATATTACGTTCGCGAAGGTTAAAACTATAAGGAAACATCTCGATTCTAGAAGTTCCAGCCAAAACTCTCACCTATCTACAGATATTGTACTAGATTATTTAGACCGTATTATGCTCATTATAGTACTAAACATAATTTACTGACAGAAAGCACAATATTACAACAATGTCGCAGCGGCAATATTAAATTTAGAGGTTCATTGGTAAACCACAAACCAAGTGCTAGCAGTTAACATGACAGTCATGAATCTTGAATTCTTGATAGAACTAAGTAAACATCGGTAAGTAGCAGAACTGCTAGTAATGAGCCTTGCATGATATCACTTGTCACTACAGTCATCTTATCGTTTATGCACTAATATGTTAATATACTGTGCAGCACTATGAACTAGGTATCTACAAGTCTATGACAGTACAGTGGTACTCACCAGCATTATGCAGTGTTGAATAATGTATCACATCACAGCTTATTGATATGCAAGTATTTCTAACTTCCTATCCTCAGTCTACGCGTATAAACTAGCATTGTCTATTTAACATAGTGGCACAACAAAATGTCTAATAATGTACAGTATTTTTGTTTAACAAAAGTTGAAATTTAGAAGTATCTAACTATCGCAATCATAAAGTCCTTAGTGAGTACAGTATACTGTATGTGTCACGTCTGTAGCTCTTGGATAACAGTAATTCATTCGCAGGAACTGGTGCAATATTTTAATAATTTCGTGGAGTGCAGTGTAGCAAATACACATACTGTACAAGTGTACAGTAGTATTCTTTAAAATACAGCCGAAAAAAGTACTAATTCAATCACAGGCTAGTCATTTACTAATTGTAAGCGTGAATAGCATCAGATAATAATTTATATCTACGCTTTGCAACTCTCTGAACAGTTAATACGGCGTCATGATTCATTCGTAGTAGAAGCTAGAAATTACAGAATATAGTATAATTTCTAGAAGTGCATGGTCAGTTAATAAAGCAACTACGTGACTCATCAACGCGACGTTTACTGAAAATGCATCACGTGTATTGCAAGTACGAACCTTGTATGATCTTCACTGGAGCTATTACTGGCTTGATCCGACGATGTTTCGCTATGATTGATTATTGGTGAATCATCTAATTCTGTACGACTCAAAGCAGCCATCTGTAGCCTTTGCGAAGATTGCTCTTGATTATCTTCAGTATGACTTTCGCTTTCCTCTCGCCTTGGATTTTCTAATGGTACAGTATAATCCACAGCACCGAAAGCTTAGAGAGTCGAATGTGTGTACTGTACTGTAGTACAGTAGACATTAGGGTATGTGCACAGTGTACAGTACCCTGTGAAAAGTATATACTGTAAGCAGAGCCGAAAAATACTGTACTGTACTATACGCTCGTACTATGTAAAAACTTTAAATACTGAATGCCAACTACAAATGAACTGGCTGCAACTCCGAGAATTTGTAATTGATTTACGTTTATTTTCTTTTCAGACTCAGAAAAAGGGAAAAAATATTACTAAAACTAACGTCAAATTATAGACTTCTACAGTAGTCTGCATGCATGTGCTCAGTCAGAGTACAGTAAAGTACACTGTACGTATGATACTGCACTTCGTCCGGTACAACTTTTACTGTCCAACGTGCAGTGACAGTATGTACGCAAAACACCACTGTAAGGTGGTAATGTACTGTACTGTACATTGTACAATAGGCAAGTAAATGGCTCACTTATTAATGGTTAAGAAGAAACAGTAGGGTAGCAGCAACGCATAAAATAAATAAATAGAATATTATACGTATATCATATAAATCTGAACTGTGTCGCAAACACTACTGTACATAGTTCATTTAATAATTATAATTAGCAAGAAACAGTAGGTTGTCAGCAGCACAAAATATTATACGCGTATTCGTATACGAGTATACGTACACGAATAAATCTCAACTGTGTAGAAGTCTACATTACTCAGACAGAAAATCCTTAGTACTATACTAGCTTAACGTTCTGTCGATTCGCCAACAGAAATAACATAGTTCATAATATAATGATTACAGCTCTTCAGCTCTACTGCAAGATAGGCAAATATAGCGCCGATAATGATGTATATAATTAATTAATTATAAATAAATGGAGAGGAGAATGGATAGAGATCATAATTATAGAAGTTGAATAGCTTATAGTTAATAACATATATATCGTATATATATAGTCATAAATTATACAAACAGTACAGTACTTACCATAATTTTCAGGGGCAACGTAATCATACCGCGCAATCTTATCATACGTGAACATATCATACGGCGACCTTGCAAAATTCACAAATTCGTGTAAAAAATGATTCGTTTTCTCATATAGGAAATGTGATAACTGTTCACGAAATTCATCTGATAGTATATCGACTCTAAAATTGAAAATTAAAACAAAAAACTTAAGTATAGCAGGGAGTATACTTTCCGTAGTATGCAAGCCACACGACAGCGAATGGATAAATTCTCTATGCATAAATCAATATCATTTTTTAATTCGTTACAGTAGTACGCAAACGTATTTATCGCATGCTATAACAGACACCCCACAAATTCCAGCATAGTATACTTGTATAGTATACTATAATCAAACGCTCTCATTTCTGGTACGTGTCCATACTCAAAGTATCCACATTGAGTATGCAACTTACTTATATATAATAGATAAAATTAGCTGTCGAATAAAGGCAGCATCCCCACTATTCCCAAGGACGACGTTTAATTCGCGACTAATCCAAGGAATAAGGCGGTGAGTGCAAGCAGGATTCCTTCTAAAGAATTCAGGTGCTATGAAAAAGAAAATTTATTGCAATTATAGCAAATGCATCGATAATTTATTCCTGAAATCACTTAGATACGCAAGGCAGAAAGCATTCGTAATTTACAACAAAAGCAATAATTACTCGACGTAAAATTTACTTACAAATATCTCTATATTTGGTTTTACCATTACTAGCCACTCCCTTTACCCATAAGGACGCGGCATAAATTGCCCTAGGTAAGTTCCGATCGATTTACAATTGTTCAATATGGTATTCTGTATGCATGGCAAAAATTAAGAGCAAATGCATCAAATCTATACTTTCTTCTCTCCAATGATCTTAGATAAATTGGTTTCCTTCTCGTTGACGTAGAACCCCACTGAGAGTATCTAGAGGAGGAAGCATTGCCATTGACACCTGAAGTGCGGCTGGAACTAGATTGTTGGTGTCGCACGGGCCGACCTGATGTCATAGTGGTCCTATAGCGAAATCTGTTAACAAGATATAGTGTTATAACTTTACGAATTATGTTAACAAGATATAGTATTATAACTTTACGAATTATATATATATTACTTTGTTGCAAATATTATTTATAATAATTCGCGTAGTTCAATAAGACTTTAATATTACAACAGTTTGTTATTTGCTACTTTTGCACTAAATCGTAATATTCTAAATCCTCAAAGTATAAATTGGTACGTCAGTCTAAGAGCAACTAGACACTTTTGATACCGCCAAACAGCTGCATAAATATAAGATCAAAATTTCTGGAAGACCATTTTATGCAAATAAAGTAACATTCACTCAATAAGAAATACAGTAGTATAATCTGATTAGAGATAATGTTAGATTGACTTGAAGAATCTTGGCATATTTAAAGTTAGTAGCTAACAACAATAAATTTACTCTCAGCTTGTTTAAATGATGATTGCGTCCTGGTTAATTAGAATTTAATTAATCCAATTTATCAGGTGATAGTGAAAAGTGAATATACTAGTTAGTCATAAAGGTGTATCGGCTGAGAAGGTTGTAAATCTAATATAGATATTGGATTACGCTTAGTCCGGATATTAACCTGTTGTCTAAACGGAAAGCTCCATCGTCAATGACCTCTTCTTTCTTTTTATCCGATTGCGAGAGTTGATACTATTAATAATTAAAACAAGCGAATTTTTAAATCTGCTTAAATATCAATTGCTACAATTTGCACTACAATCACGCAACAGAATTATATTATATCTAACTTAACATGATATTTTCCGTAATCAATACGTATTTAAATATTGACAGCGTTAAAAGTTAAAAATCGCACTTAAGAGAGTAATGCTAATGTTATTTCCGTAATGTGAAACACATTGCAAGTTTGCAATATCAAATAACACTTTTGACTTTGTAACAATTCCAAGCAAATTAGGACCATGTTTATCTGATCTACTTTACGGCTACTGTAGATTTCAAATTATAAAAATTTAACTCTAAATCCAACTTCCTACTAAGCGTTACTATACAGTCAAACAATTACCAAATGTATATATACTACGAGCAAGTACTACGATGTATTTCAACAACAGTCTAAGGCTATTAGCAGGCATACCATTTGATAATCTTTGTCCGACTTTACCGTATGGATGATAGTCGTAAACTCCGATTTGCACAGAGGACACGTTTGTACAACTTCAGACCATTGTAAGATACAATAAAAGCAGAAAGTATCTATTTCCTAATTAAGGTGTTAAATAACATACTAAATAACTGAGCAATAATACTACTTTTAATGATACATACGTAGATTTATGTTCAAGCTTATTCCCCCCAAATATGATTACTCGACGGAAGCCAGGCAGCAGATAGTTATTGGAGAAACTTAAACTTTCTAATCTCTAGCCGACTGTGATATTGCCACTAATCTGCTTATAGTAGCTGAATCATTTGCTTATGTGAATATCAACATATACATATCACATGAATACAATTTTGTTACCAGTGTATACTACTTGGTAAACATTACGCACTAAAAATTCGAAGAAAACAAGCGGATGGTCAATGAATGGAAAGCGAATTGATTTTGCTATTATCGAAATGTACCCGGATGCCTTGAATGAGTATGCTGCAAGTTGCTGATGTAAAGATTCGAAGCAGACTGACAGATTATTCTATACTGAAAGTTATATAATACTAGTGTCAGCTTTCAAAGTTTAACCTACACCACTATTTTATTTCTCATGATAACTCATTAGATACTGTACCAATATCACTTCATTGATTAAAAATGTAAGTCACTTAAAGTGTAAAATCTGTACCTCAGTCATTGCAGATGCTAATTGTTTTACACTAGATTTATATTAATCGGGATGCATATACGGACACTGTATGTGTTGACTTTGATCTACAATGTCGATATTCCATATCATAATTATCTCCAGTCTCTCAAAAAATGCGGAAATCTCAAGCAAGAATCGATGAATTTGTAATACCTACTGTAAACTTGCAATCTGGTACAGACTGTTATGATCAAGGACGTATTGCTAGTTCGCTACATTAAGGATACGAAAACATTTCTCCAAGTAGGATTTATTTTCAAATGGGCATAAGCATATAGGGCAAGTAGGATCATCTTCGTTTTCCTTTGGGACTTCTACTTCCGAGCGAGTTGCGCTCGCTTCTGCCTCGGACATTTTGATGATGCTAAAGCTAAACTAAACTTCTGCTAAATCGAAGTACTAAAGTGCAATTTCGAGCGAAAATAAACTCCAATTGCATGTTACAACTGCTGCACTTTACCAAGTCCATACAATGTACAATTGTACATGTACACTTGTACAGTACCTACAGTACAGTACTGCACGGTATACTGAATGAGTCTATACCGAAATACTCCGGTAAGACGGATTAGCAGACGGACTGCTTACATATGAAGGCAGCGAAGCCGGGGGACCTGCAGGTACTTTTATATGGAGCACTTAATACTTTACCAGGTAAAGTATTTAGTGGTCCTTGACTGTTAGAAGATTTAAAGTATAATTAACATACAGCCCTGACTATCTTAGCTAGTTAAAAGAATGATCGATCCTATGCAAGTTTTCTCATTCCCGATCACTTGATCAAGTAGCCACGTACAGAATATCTTCAATATTCGTGTATTCAAATACAGAATTATAAATAACAGTCTATAGCGCTAATTAATATATGAGCCATTCTTCGTAATAACAAGTAGTTTTTTTAATTAAGCATTTAAAGTAGTATAAATTGCTATTATAAAATCCAGATTTATATCGCACCTCCTTGGGCAATATAAATACAAACGATTTCCATGTAGTCAATACGGTATCTACAAGTAAAATGTCGAATCTTGGATCTTTATTATACAGTGCTTCGGTAAAAGTCATAACGATACAGCTCTTTATTACAGATTTTGCTTTACCATTTACATTCATTAAAATTACCTGTCAAAGATATGATTATTATTGGTATATTTATAGATTTCCCTCGCTGATTTGTTGTGCATGGTTAGGTCAAGCAGTCATACTGTCACATCAAATCGATATTTAGGCTCGAATATCCTATCCTTCTATTAGCCTAAATTAATGACTACAACGTTCAAATACGCTCAACTGCTTAGCAGACTTCTATATACATACGGACGTTAATCTTACAGTATTAAGATCAGTACCTAGAGTTTACACTATAGCAGTACATAAGACAATCGTTCGTTCGTGATCTTCTCTCCTTCAATAACGGATAATATGGCCCATTGTACAGAGTTGTGTTCCCTTGAGTCAGAAGGCCTAAAAAATTTTATGACGGTCAGGAATATCTTCATATGAAGCATATAAAGAATTGTGTAATTGGCATCCAAGGAGACCTGAGAAAGGTTGATCCGATTTTGATCGCATTAATTGTTTGATATACTTGTACTTGGAATAGTTCTATTTCCAGCTAATATCACGAAAACCCAAGCTGCTACCGCAACCGCTAACAAAACCTAATCGATTATGAAGCAAATTGAACGATGTCAACGCAAAAGTAATTTCTTATCCTCTCTCGTAAATTTATAATAATAACTCGCAAGCGCGAACGCATACTACTACAGTATTTCTGATAATACAGTACAAGTCTATGCGTATCAATGCGTACAAGTTTTTATTGACTACCGCAGATGCTTCATGTAAAGATTCACTTCACTGCATATATCAATCCATGTTCTGTTGATAATATCATGCTAAGACTCAAGTAATTGCATACTGTATTTACGCGTTTTAACAATGTGTAATAGAATAGAATGAAGATTTAACATTTCATAGAGCATAAACAGTGTCAAATCGCTTGTTTCACAATGTATGTTCTATGAAATGTTAAATCTTCATACCATTCATTTCATCGATAGTTTACTTATAATATTTATAATGTAATACGCTGTCCTATCCATCTCTGATCAATCGATACATCCAATAAAAAGGTTTAGCAAGAAGTTATAAAGTTTTTATTGACTACTACAGATGCTTCATGTAAAGATTCACTTCACTGCATATATCAATTCATATTCTGTTGATAATATCATGTTAAGACTCAAGTAATTGCATACTGTATTTACGCGTATTATTAACAATGTGTGATAAAATAGAATGAAGATTTAACATTTCATAGAGCATAAACAGTGTCAAATCGCTTGTTTCACAATGTACTGTATGTTCCATGAAATGTTAAATCTTCATACCATCCATTTCATCGATAGTTTACTTACAATATTTATAATGTAATACGCTGTCCTATCCATCTCTGATCAATCGATATATCCAATAACAAGGTTTAGCAAGAAATTATAAAATTGTCATCCTCAAGCTTAGCTAGTCAAAGTAACGATGGAAACGGATGTTGCTGACTGATGTTGCTAACTTCTAAAACGAGCAGTTTATTAATATTGTATAGTACACAGGTAATGTACTGGATAGTATGCGCCACTATGACCGGACTACAGTACAGTGTACAGTGTACAGTGTACAATCAACCACATGCTCTACGGTACTGAGAATGAAGCAGCTAAGCCTGTCTGCAGACTGGAAATGATTGCAGAGGTGCAGCGCAGATCCATCTAGGAAGTAATCCCTAGCAGAAGTGCAAACTATCTGTGAATTCTTACAAGTAGCTGGACACGATTGTGGTGATTACAATTTTACCCTTTGAATCCAACAGAAAATATCGGTGGTTGCACAGTTAATAGGAGAATTATTCACTTTATCGGAACCCGAATTAATACGAAATCAGCATGCCGAAAACTCGAGTGCCAAAGCGAAGTAAAGACAGACCTTCCCCTATGTCAGTATCAGGTCCATCGGGTAAGTTGGTAAACTGCAGTACTGAATTATAACGCTTGTGATTTTACAGACCATCATTTTAGACTGCCTTAACCATATTTTACCGATGATTAATATACGACTGCAAAAGTACAGTATATGTATGTCAATGACATTATTATAACATACAAATTCTATGACTCTCTAATGGAGTATGCAAGCAACTTGGAATGATATTATTAATATAATTATTATTGAATTATAATGAATGTGCCAAACTCGGAGCAGATACTGTACTGTGCACGTAATAAGAAATTGTTTAGCAGCAATGTCTTGAATATCAAATGTAGAGTTCACGGCCAATAATATTACTAGTATCGCTCAAACTTTTCGCTTGATTGACTTAAGGTGCAGCTTACTTAATGATTAGGAGATGAATGAGTCCTTTTAAGAATTCTACTAATGGCTAATGTTGTTAAGCAAGCAATCGATCACTTCATATTAATTCTATGAATGTTCTTTCTTGCACACTCGTAGGTATTCCATTTCGGAAAGAGATGGGACAGCATATCCTGAAGAATCCCTTGATAGTAAATAGTATTGTTGAGAAGGTAGGTACGGTACTCGTACACTTTTAAATAATTCGTAGCAGACTCGTGCCGATAGTGCACCAGGACTACAAATGCAAGTCCTGATCGGAATAAGGTCATTATAGACTTTCATAACGTTCCAAGCATAATAATTGGAATTGCGTTAATAGAAGTTCTACAGTGCTTGTTAACACGGTAAATCTTTATGATTGTACAGGCAGCTATAAGATCAACAGATACAGTATTAGAAATTGGTCCAGGTACCGGTAACTTAACTGTCAAACTATTACAGAAAGCAAAGAAGGTAAATCAGCTCAATTGAAGCCATACGGATAAGCACTTTAATAGTATGGCTCGATATTTTATACTTTTATGATGCGGGAGCTAGTATTATACGCGTAGATAAATCATATATTAGCCATCCTTACCAACTGTCATTGCCACACTAACTTTATAATCCATATTAACCATCATTGCTCCAAGAAATATCGTCATCAATGAAAGGTATATTGATTGTATCTGTCTTAGGTCATTGCATGCGAAGTAGATCCTAGATTAGCAGCAGAATTACAGAAAAGAGTACAGGGAAGGTACAGTAATTACTGTATTTCAAAAATTTGTTCTCAAAAAAGCCATGTTATAAACATATATCTCAACATGACGTATCTGGCATCTATCGATACCATTATAGTCCCGTATCAACGAAACTACATATAATCGTTGGCGATGTGCTAAAAACTGAATTACCATACTTTGACGTTTGCGTTGCAAATCTGCCTTATCAGGTACGGATTAGTTAGCGTATCTGCGCTAACGTAAGACAAACGATCTAAATAAATGCTTAGGTCATGGATATAATCCTGCTGTTCCAATCTCGTGACGACTTTGCATAATTTTGCATAGCTTTTAATGCAAGTCATTAATGTAACATTATTTTATTACTTTTATAGATATCATCTCCATTCGTGTTTAAGCTGTTATTACACCGACCTCTATTCAGGTCTGTCTTCGATCTGGTACCTATAAGGAATTTTTGAATATGCTCTGTTGTACGAAGCTTGCTGTATAAAATAGGCTTATCTTCTTAAGTTACTATCAATGAGTGCCAATTCTAAATTCATAAAGTATGTGCGTAAATAATTGATCATTTATCCAACTAGATGTGCTGTCTTAATGTTTCAAAGAGAATTTGCGCTGAGGTTAGTTGCAAAGCCTGGTGATAAGTTATACTGCCGTTTATCCATCAACACCCAACTTCTAGCTAAAGTTGATCATCTGATAAAAGTAAGTCTTTGCGCTAGAACAAGAACGATTTTGATGTCAGAACATTTATCATACTATCCATTGTAAAGTCGATCATTAAAAGTCAAATACTTGCAAATGTTAAATTCTGTAGGTTGGGAAAAACAACTTTAGACCACCGCCAAAAGTAGAATCAAGCGTAGTGAGAATAGAACCCATAAATCCAGTACCACCGATTAATTTTAAGGTACTATGTACTTTTATGTATGAATATGAAATATACATTACAGAAAGTACTTTCCACTGCAACTATTGTTAATGTAGAAGTGTGCAATAATCTATCAACTATTGATAGGAATGGGACGGACTAACTAGAATAGTATTTGCGCGAAAAAACAGAACGCTTTCTGCTTCCTTCAAGTAAGTTCAACACAACATCCATTATTTCTACATAACGATAGATGTCAGGTCAATAATAAAAGTTAATCTTATCCATTCAAGAACTCAGGGAGTGCAAACAATGCTGGAAAAAAATTTTCGTATTCATTGTTCAATCCACAACCAAGTAAGAATAGAGAGTTCTCTATAACGTATTTGCTAGTGAACTTACTAAATCTTAATTAACCTATTGGCATAATGCATCAATTACCTTATAGGCTATTGAAGAAGACATAAACATTGCTGAAAAAGTAGATACTATCCTCAAATCAGTTAATGCCAACGCTAGAAGAGCTAGATCGATGGACATGGATGATTTTTTAGAGTATGTATTGCTTATTTAGATTGCTGTAAATATTCCTATCAGATCTGTGGCGAATTACGCTACAGTAGGATTTCGTAAGAAGTATGTGAACTCACAACTTATGATTAAGCTACACCGAATGTTTAAAATATCTTTCACATTATCCATTGTTTAGATTGCTTCACGCGTTCAACTCCAACGGTATCCATTTTGCCTAGAAGATGAAATAACATCTGTACACTTATTATGTACTTATCTATCGTTTTCTACTAAGCTAGAAGATGAAAAGATTATATAATGTCAAAAATATTTAAACGTATTTTGTATATAAGACATACATAAGTATCTATTATTTTCACATTTGCCATGTCATCATGATGACTTTTAATAGCCGTACGCATATACGTATCGATGTAATGATGAAATATTGCGATCATGAATACTTTGTTGTGTACCACTGTAGATTTAATTATTATTAAATGTTATGACTTCTCATAGCAAATGGAAGGTCTGACTTAAATTGTAGTAACCTAGACTGTTATAGAATAGGGTAACAACACTTGGAATTATCTTTAAGTCGACTCCCCGCCTAGAGGTGCTTTGCCAACGTAGCAATTAGTGATTTATCCAAGGCCAGTAGCTAATATTGTAACGCAAGTATGTGTATATTGTTCCGAAGTACCAAAATTTATTTATACCGCTCGACTTATAAGTAATTATTATATCGATAAATATTAGTAAATGCACGGCTACGTTAACTATATCTAACCCAGATATAATATGTCTGTTGATTTTTACTAAGCGAGTATCCTTCTTTCCATGCTCCTTGTCGAAATATTGTAGAGATTTACCCGTAAATTATTAAGAGAAGCATGATTACTAAAATTGTTAATTTTTTTCATCATTTTATGGTAATATTGATATCAACTGCGTAGTTGATTCGAATTGATCAACGTAGACCATCAATCTAACTTCTTACATGAATATAATAATTTATTTAATATAAAATCACATTAAGCGTTGTTGACTTAGCAACGACCAAATATAAGCACCACCTATATACATTGTTGATGCTTTTTCGAAGCATTAATTAGTAGAACATTTTAATAACTGTTTTTACAGCTTAGCATTTGGCAGAGCAATCGCATACGTATATTTAGAAACTTAAAGCATTATGGAAGATCCATTGTTTGGGTAAATATTGGTAGTATTCTCTAAATGTCAGGCAATTACTTCAATAATTGCAAGTTACATATGTATTGATTATTTGAATCAGTCTATTATTATTATATTAATCATCAAAGAAATATCCAGCTACATTTTTAGTAAATGGCTAAAGAAGCTATGCAATAGCAAACAATCAAGAATTCAAAATTACAACGATACGTCTACGTAGTAAATTATCAAGATATATACTGTTATGTCTAGTTGCTGTATTTATAGAGTATAATCCGTAAAGCAAATTAATTTTCAGTTTTACAGCTACAACATATCAATTTCTATTCGTAAACATCTTTTAAAAATTTTGAAGTAAAACTAACACAAGTCAGTATACTCGTATCTCTTAATCATTGGGTATGAAAGAGTTGGGTCAAGAATCCGTTAATATCATTAACTATCAATGATATACTGATAATAATATTTTACTTATTTACCGTATGGCCTTATAGTTTATTTTTCTTCCAAGTTGCCCCCGTAGATAGTTATAATATGAGGTTAATATCTTTATTTTATAATGACAGTAGCAGTAGACTCATTGTCGGATTATCGTTGACTTGAAATAGCTAAAACTAGAAACGTAAAGGAAATAGCATTGCCAATAACAACAACAAATACATCAACAAGCATCAAAAACAATAGCACGTTCTTTACAAGGGCTCCTAATGCCATATCAACAAAACAATAAGGATCATAATTCTACCAAAAGGGAGTTATTGTATTTTATTATCATAGTTCGTTAAAATTGCAAGGCATTATAATGAATTCTATTTTAGCAATCAAGAGGCGAATTTGCAACATGTTCGTTTTTTATTATTTCATCACTAAGGTCTCTAAGAAAAATAAAAAGAAAAATAATAATGTTCCTAGAATTGAAACCTATTATTCTGTATCATGTTGTCAAATGGTTATGCAATACTGTTTCCTTGTTGCCATCATCACAACCATTCAATTAGCTGCAATGTAAGCAGTAACTTTCTATTTTAATCTATCTATTTTTTTGCGCTAACAACAAGTTGAAGAAAGCTAGAAAGTTAATAGTCGTATTTTCATTACTACGTATATTTCAATTTTCTGGTTAACCTAATAGCACAAATTTCACTGTAGCGTAGAATATATTATTAATGAATATATATTTAAGCGTGATGAATACACATCATATGCTATATTACATTCTAGAGATTACCTAGCCTCCGTGACTTATCAATAGTTTTTTTCCACTTGGTTAAAATCAAAAATTATTTTCGACAAGGCTTTAACTAATCACTGATTCAGCAGCGAAAGATAGATAAAATAACTACAGAAGGAGCTAGATTTATTTATAAACTCTCATTACTATGAAATGATCATATTTACAATAATGCAATGCATCGTCAATGTTACTTGCCGGCCATACAATTTCATTCTATGAATGACTGTGCGACTGAAATTTTTTGTGTCTCTATCGTACATATACATAAAGAACAATAAATAATAGGTAAATACTCCACTATTTGACGTCAAAAATATTCAAATATAGCTAGAGGCACTATATGCTTCGCCAAAGTATGTTTCTTTTATTCTATACTTGTCATAATTGAATCATGACCTATTTAATGTTATATCTGATAGTATGCCATACGCAATGGAATGCCATCACTTGCTTATTATCACAATATAATCTTTATTATCTTTTGATCGCTCATTATAAAGTACGTGTGCCAGGCTTGCATATATACATTTGAATATATGAAATGTACATGTTATCCGATGGACAGAAATAAGTATTTTAAATTTCTGTAATGCAACCATCATACCCATTAATTATATGGGTAACACGGAATGTATCATAAATCGGAGTAGATAAAGTTTACCTTAAAAATTTTCTTCAGTGACACTTTTTTCATTTTCTTCAGCTGAAAAATATTAATAATATTTACTGTATTATTTCTACGGAACTCATTTTTTATCAATTTCAGACCTTATAGATAGTCTCTTTATGTTACTATTATAAAATGAAATATTTTATCTCTCTAGCATTCGATCAATTTCAATGTACTACATACTTAACAATATACTTCTTACCTCAGCCAATCTGGCCACGTCGCAAGTAATTTTATGCTAGTTACTTCAATTAAGCCTTTATTTAGATTATAAAAGCGGCTAGATAAAGTAATTAAATTTGAGTAATTTTTTATCTGATAATGACTAAACTTTAGAAATTATTCAATTTTATGCGCCCGTATTCTGCTTTTAGGGTCAGGGAGAAGGAATAGCTATGCCAAATTTCAGCGATACTGACTTTAAATCATACTCGAAATTAGTAAAGCTTGCAAGCGTTTTGATCCCTCTTACCTTACTAAACGCTAGTCTAGGAGCACGATAAAACTACAACAGCGCTCCATTCTTGATATGCCATTTATATACAGATATTGATCGATTAGAAAATCTTCATTAAGAAATAAAACAAAAACTAAATTCGCAATCTTAATAAGTGTTTTAAATCATATGTAAATATCTTACTTTGAATAAGTATCAATAAATTTTTCCATTTTCTAATAAACTTATTATACCCTCACTCTAGATGTTGCCTTAAACTCTTAACGAAATGATTAAAGAGGAATAAATCGGCTAGCCTTATAGACATAAATTTTAAGCAAATCTGTTAAAAACAGATTTTGCAGCTAACGAAACTAACATAGTGCCTTAACGATTCTACAATAAAGCCGACGTTCTTATTCCTGAACTTAGTTTTTTTCTGAAAAGCTGTAAGAGGGGAAATTATTCGTATGGCCTAATATTAACTATTTATAAGCATCTTATTATTGCACCTTCTCCATTTGTAATGCTATTAATTTCATCAGTCTATTTTATTTTGCAAAATAAGTCGTTAAAATATCAGAAGCAATCAAAACTTTCAAACTTTTTTATCTACTAATAAGTAAAGTATTCCTTGTATTGCTTACTAGATAAATGGTTGGGATCACTGTATATCTTGAATATATTCAGCCCACCTTTCACTTGATATTATCTACGAGAGAAATTATAACAGCGATTGAAGAAAATAGTTTATTATGTAAGTCAACACGAATAATCAATCTATCCTTAAATACTCTGAATATAAATAGCATACACCTAACTTTGCACGGTTAATAATTTTTTAATTTTATATCGGACTTGTTAAGGCCTGTGTTTACATAGTAGATTACGGAAATAGCTTTCGTTGTCATTCTTTGGAACTACCGCTTAGCTCTTAAATAAATTTCGTATAAGAATCAGCAATTAAAAAGCAATATAATCGATTGAAACCACGACATGATGAAAAATATTTCATCATTTATTAATTAATTATTATCGTGATATTTTCGAGTTATCAACATACTTTCGAGGCGTTGGTTAATTAAAAGCTCATTTAATAATTCATTCAAGATAAAATTTATCGGTATTATTTTTAACGCATGTCACATCATATAATATTTCACGGGTAAAATTTATTCGTAGGACTTATTGTCACACTATGATCATCTATAATCGACTAATTATCAATTTCAACATGACAGGTAGGGTGCCATATAGTTAAGTTATCGTTATAGTGATGATCTAACTCAATTAACGGAAGATGTAACTAATTCTACTACGAATAAATAGCCGTTGCCCGCCAAATTATTTGCTATATCGCCAGAACTTTATTCTGACCTACGACTAAGCTCGAGACTAATATTAATATTTTACTTTCGTTCTGAAGCTTCTAGCGCATTAACAAGTTTGTCAACAAGCATCCTACCACAGTAATTTAAGTACAATAAATCCAATGCAATATTTTTGGCAACATTCGAGCATTCTAATACTAGCATTCCAGTCTCTCTTTATAGAAGTCAATTAGCATAAGAATGCTGTCATGCAGACAATCGTCTTCAGTTGGAATAATAAATAATTAAACGATTAACATCCAGCTATTTAGCATTTATGATGATTATAATTTAAAATTTAAACGATGAATGACAACAATGACTATTGCGAA